GCTCAAAAATGAACCAAACATTTTCCATTTTAGTAGTAAAAAAAAATCGTTGAATTAAACTAATTAAATATGGAGTATAGGTGCTGGTATTTCAGCCGTTATTGTATATATTTAAAAATAATAAAAATAAAGAGAGAAACTCCTGAACTGTGCTTCCTCGAAAACTGTGGATCGGCACTCGTTTAAAATCGTGTACATTTGAACTACTTACTCACCGAAATACTTCAGCCGCAGAGTGCACCACATAGTTGACACAAAATAAAGTTTAATCTTTAAGGTTCTTTACAAATAACGAGAACTTAGAAATAAGATGTTGTATTACGGGTGTTTGGTTTTATTTTTAAGCACTTTGTTGAGGTAAGAGTTTAAATAAGGCTCTAAATATCTCGTTTGGCCCAAATATTCTACCAAGAAATGATTTAATTAAAGAAATTGGTCAATTAAAATTAGTAATTTCTTCTTTTGCTAAGTCTGTAACAGTTTTTTAAAGTTGTACCTTGCAATTAACTGTTTTAAAGTGTCTTAAGGTTCATTCCAAGCTTAAAATCACATTTTACCCTTAAAAATATCATTTTAAGTTTCGCTTATATCTTAACAACTAGCCCAGTCGTTCCACCAGGGAAATTGTCTTGTTTGCGATAGGTTTTTCAAAAAAATAAAACTAAACATTTCCTTTGTATCCCTGATAACAAAATTTTTGATAAGTCGGACCTGTATTGCATTTTTTAGACTATATTTCATAGTCAAATCGGGTATATTAAAAAAAATGGTAATAGAGTGATTTTTGACATTAAATTGAGAATTGAAACATAGTCTAAATGCCGATCAGGTTTCATATTTTTGAAAAAATGAACTCGCTGGCATATTCTAGTTCGTTTTATTATCTTTACGGTTTTAAAAAAATTATTGTGGACTAGAATGTGATACTAAATACAGGGTTATTCATCTAAAACATCTATTACATACAGAAATGGATATTTTGTCTGAACGACTCTGTATATGCCAAATCTTACCTAATTTCGGTTTAGGTGCACCCTGTATAATTTTGCTTGTATTTTGTTTAATAAATTAATTTGCTGGCTGTTTAGTAAACGAGAATTTTATGTGAAATAATCTTAATAATTTAAGTGTGTCAATTTGTACCATTTTTAAAAGTTGTAAAATTATATTTAAGGTTTTTTTGTTCAAATTATTTTTTTTACGATTGCGATTTTGTTTATTTTTTTTCTTTTTATTTCAACTTTGTTACACAGATATGTTTGTACAATAATTATTTAACAAATAGACAGTAAAAGTTGTTCTGCAATTTTAGAAAATAAAATTGTTATTTTAATGTATATGGCTGGGTCTTTTATTTCGTAAAAATCTAAAATGACAACTCTCTAGTAACGAAATGGCCATAACTTGATGTCCTAAACTGTAGTGATTAAATGACCCTGGACATTCGGGTAATTAAATGACCTCTAGAACTATCAAGACTCTAAATGACAACTTGCCAGTAATTACATGACGTTGGACTCTAGTAATTAAACGCTCTTGAGCACTCAAGTATTTAAATGACATTGGACGCTTGAGTAATAAATGATCTTGTAATTTCGAGAAATTTGTTGTCCTAAACAGGGGTAATTAAATAACCTTGAATATTTGGTTAATTAAATGACCTTTAACATTTGGATAATAAAATGATTTATACCCTTAAGACCTTAACTGTCTGAACTTTCAATTGCATGATCTTTGGACTCTTGTAATTAAAAACTCAAGTACATAAATGACTTAGTTAAAGATTTTTTTTTTTTAGAAAAATGAAGTAAAGGAGGATACATTTTTGCTTAAGGACCTTTTTAGAGAAATTCAAGTAGAAGAGGAGAAATTTTTGCTATAAAATTGTCGCAGAGCCCGATCTGGAGAATTGTCATGGGGCCCGGTCTGGCTCTCGGCGGCCTTGAGGGCTTAAGGTTCCCTGTGTTAGTTTTCCTTCCTGTCTATTCCCAAATAACTCAGTGAGGGCTTAAGGTTCCCTGTATTATTTTCCTTCCCAGCTATCCCCAATTAACTCAGCGAGAGCTTAAGGTTCCCTGTGTTAGTTTTCCTTCCTGACTATTCCCAAATGACTCAGTGAGGGCTTAAGGTTCCCTGTGTTATTTTCTTTCGCAGCTATCTCCAATTAACTCAGTGAGAGCTTAAGGTTCCCTGTGTTATTTTCCTTCCCAGCTATCCCCAATTAACTCAGTGAGAGCTTAAGGTTTCCTGTGTTAGTTTTCCTTCCTGGCTATTCCCAAATAACTCAGTGAGGGCTTAAGGTTCTCTGTGTTATTTTCCTTCCTGGCTGTCCCTGTCCGACCTGGGGTTATAATAATAAATAATAATATTAAGAGGTAGTGTGGGTTTGATTCAGCGTAGCTTGCTCGTTGGCTTCAGGGGTTTAAAAAAAAACATTTAAAAAAGATTTCAAGTGGTCCTCGCGAGTTTCAGAAGGGCCGCAGTTTAAATTTTTAAAATTCATACTATCCTGGATGTACATTTAGATTTTTCTCTGCGATTTAAGAAAGTTACTGTAAATTTGGAATTTTTAAAATTCATACTATCCTTGATTTAAATTTTGATTTTTCTTTGCGATTTAAGAAAATTACCGTAAATTTAATTTTTTTTTTAATCATACTGTCCCTGATTTACATTTGAATCAGCGAATGCAGAAACGACACATGTCCATTTTTGCCTTAAAATGGATTATGCCAAAAAATGATTCTACACAGATAGATACACCGTAAAATATATTGCACATGTCCAGATTATACCTTAGCTGAAAACGATTGGTAATATAGGATATACTCTGCAGAAACAAGACAAGTGCCGGACATGTGAGTAATGTTTTTTCCATTTTCCCCAAATTTTAAATTTTGGACATGTGATGTTTCTGCATAAGCCGATTCATTTAGATTTTTCTTTGCGATTTAAGAAAATTACCGTAAATTTAATTTTTTTTAATTACTGTCACTGATTTACATTTTGATTTTTCTTTGTGATTTAAGAAAATTACCGTAAATTTTGAATTTTTTCTATATACGCGACCCCTTCACCGTACCCAGTTTAAGCAGTCTGATCGAGAATACCTGCTAACTATATCAGCCGTTCGTTCCCGTTTTGTTTTATTTTTTGTTCAGGGTTTCATAACCGAGGGTGGGCGTTGAAATATGTTATTTTTTTAACTGTAAATAGTTAAACCAATATATGTGTCAACATTACCTTGACTATTACTGAGGTTACTAATCCCCAATTTACTTCCCCCTTACTATTCAGCAGTGAGAAATTCTTTACAACCACTACTTGTGGCTACTAATTAACTGAGTCTAAGTGACCTTTGACCCCTGGAATTTTTCATCTCCATCTGTGCTGCCCGAGTACTTTCGACGCCGTTTCGAAAGTTTGTGGAGTAAACCACATACAAAATCTGGCGCCCGAGAGCCGTCCCGTAAACAAGCGCCACTTGTAAGAAAGCGTTTTCTTTGAGGCGAGAAAATCCCTTACACTTTGAACCCTCAAGTAAAAAAATGATCTTGAACTTTCGAGAAATTTGTTTCTAAACAGGGGTAATTAAATAACCTTGAACATTTGGTTGATTAAATGACCTTGAACATTCGGATAATTAATTGACTCTCAAGATTCTAAATGACAACTTACGAGTAATTACATGACCCTTGATTCTAGTAATTAAACGACCTTGAACACTCAAGTATTTAAATGACATTGGACGCTTAAGTAATTAAATGATCTTGAACTTTCGAGAAATTCGTGGTCCTAAACAAGGGTAATTAAATAACCATGAACATTTGGTTAATTAAATGACCTTTCACTTAAGTTCTTCTTAAATGACAACTTTCGAATAATTAAATGACTTTGAACACCCTAGTATTTATGACATTGGACGTTCAGTAATTAAATTGAATGATTAAGAAATTAGATGTCCTAAACTCGAGTATTTAAATCATGAAACATTAAATGACAAATTTTCAATTAATTAAATAATCTTGAACTCTGGTAATTTGACGATCTTGTACCCTACAGTATTTAAATGACATTGGAGGCTCAAGTAATTAAATGAATTTGGACTCTTAGATATTTAAATGACATTGAATTCTAGTAATTAAACGACCTTGAACACTCGAGTATTTAAATGGCATTAGAAGCTCAAGTAATTTGTACACTCAAATTAATAAAGGTCATTGAACTTTCGGGTAAATAAATGACTTGACTCTGTTAATTAAACGACCTTGAACACTCAAATAATTAAATGACCTTGAACAATCGGGAAACTTGATGTTCTAAACTGAATAATTAAATGACCTTAAGACTCGTGAGAAATTTTACGTCCTAAACTTGGAGTAAATGATCTTGGATATTCGGATAACTAAATGACCTTTAAACTCTCATGATCTTAAATGACTGAGCTTCCGAATAATTGAATGCCGACTCTTGTAAACAACTTTGAACACTCGAATGTTTGACATTGGACGGCTCAACTAATTAAATGATCTTGAACCGGAAATTTGATATCCTAAACACAAGTAAATGGCCTTGAAATCCTTAAATGACAAACTTTCAAAAAGGAGACAATGATTAAGTAGTGAAGGGAAAGAAGGAAAATTGAGAATAGAACTGAGACAAGTTATTAATGACCTTCAACTTTGAGAAATTAGATGCCATGAACTCTTGAGTAATTAAATAAATGACCTTGAATTCTAGTGCAATTAAATGACTGAATTCTTAAATCATTAAGTTTCGTTTAACTTTTTAGTAATTAAATTACCTTACTTTTGAGTAAATGACGTTAGACATTCGAGTAATTAAATTACCTTGGAGTCTCAGGTAATTAAACAACCTTGAACTATCAAGTAATTAAGTGTTAAATTCTCGGGTGATTAGATTACCTTGAATTCTCGAGCAATTGTTTTTTAAGTACGAGAGCAGGTCAAAAATAATTACCAGGTGCGAAATAAAACGAGTTTTGTAGAAAAAGAATTAATTTAATCGATTTAATTATATATTTATACGAGGGCAGGTAAAAAATAAAATTACCAGGTGTCAAATAAAACGAGTTTTTTTTAGAAAAAGAATTCAATTAATCGATTTAAATAAAGCGAAAACAAAACACAGATATATCCATTTAATTGTAAGTCATATATCTCGGAGTGGCCGAGAACTTGGCGTACGATTTGATGACCTTGTTGACGGCCTCTAAGAAGTCTTTTTCGGTGGCCACTTTCCTTCTGGCCCTGATCGCGAACATACCGGCCTCCGTGCACACGCTCCTTATTTCGGCCCCCGTCGAATTGGGACATAACCTACAAAAAAATTTTTAAAGAAATAAAAGAAACGTCTTTTTAGGTATAACTAGGAAACGTATATTTAAGAGTATTTAGACAAATACTAACAAGTTTTTTATACATTGCAACAAGCCTTGTATCCAACTTTTTTTGACAGAATATGATCAGGGACAAAACTTCTTACGTAGTAGGTTGAGCAGCAATATATTTAATATAAATTAACACCATTCAAAATACTTGTTTAAATACAACATCCTTACCTAGCGAGTAGTTCAAAACGGATGTCCCTCTCCACGGACATGGACCTGGCGTGGATTTTGAAAATGTGCGTGCGCCCCTCTAAATCCGGCAGGCCAAATTCCACTTTCCTGTCTAGACGACCGGGACGCATGAGGGCGGGGTCTAACGTATCGGGCCGATTCGTAGCCATCAGAACTTTGATATTGCCTCTGGGATCAAAACCGTCTAGCTGATTGATTAACTCCAACATGGTACGTTGTACCTAACCAAAACAGAAAAATAATTGAGACAAGAAAGAATCACACATTAAAAATATAGGTTGTTAAGACCTGGAGCCTCTGGGTTTGATGAACATTCTCCGGGCTCTGGGTTTACCCTAGGCATCACATAGCTTTTTTTTTTGAGGACGACACTGGAGCATTCAGATCAGCAGGTTGATTTGGAAAACATTAACAAAAATACAAGTGAAGAACAAAAAAGTATCTTTTGTACGACTGCTTTAGAAAGTTCAATTTTTCTCACTGCTTGATTGCATTGAAAGCTTTTAATTTCCCTTACTGTGAGAAATAGCTGTTAGAAATCGTTCCTACTGGCTTAATGGATCTATAAAATGTCCAGAGTGTGTAAAAAGTGAGGTTAAAAAAGTTAGAAACCCCGTTGACAGTATACAGGATCTAAATATGTCATCTGCAGAGGTAGTGAGCGACTTACAAGAAGCAGTTACATTTATGTCTGACAAATTTGATGACAAAGTCAAACAAAATAAGAGTGTTCTTAATGAACTAAGAACACTAAAAAACGAGAATTCGAGACTTATAATTAAGGTGAATCAACTTGAAGAACGCATAAATGAAATGGAGATGAAGGAAACAGCCTGTAATGTTGAAATAAATGGTACACAAGTTAAAAGTTCGGCTGACCCCAAAGCTGTTGTACTAGAAATTCCTAATGATTTATTTCAAGGTAATATTCTAATTAATGATATCTGTGAATGTTATACCAAAGAAACAAAAAAAAGGCCCAATTATAATTACAAAATTCTCTAATCAGGAAATAAAAAAGAAGTTCCTAGACAGTCGCAAAGGTCGTAAAATTGACTCAAAAATGCTCAATGTTAACAAGTCACTTAATAAGACTACCAAAGAATCCACTATTTATGTGAATGAACAACTTACAACCACCAATGGGAACTTGTTTAACATGGCATACGAATTAAAAAAGAATGATGGTTATACATTCTTGTGGTCAAAAAATGGAAAAGTGTATATAAGAAAACATGATGGTGAACCTTCAGTTCGAATAAACAAGAAAGAAGACTTAGATCTTCTAAGTGGAATTAATAACTAATGTAAACAAAAAACTAACTACAGACTGTTGAATAAAACTTTATTAAAATGGCTAATACAAGTCCCAAATTTTATAACAATCTTGACGAGTTTAAAATTGAAGCAAATCAATCTTGTTTTTTCTATATTATACTCGCTCAGTACGTAATAAGTTAGATGAAATTGAAGCACTTAGTAAACTTGTCAATCTACCTGATGTAATTGTTGTTACAGAGTCGTGGCTTTCTCCTGGCGAGGAAAACTATTTTAATTTGCCAGATTATAATGCAATTTATGAATCAAGAAATAAAATGGTAGGTGGAGTTGGCATTCTAGTAAAAGGCTACAATTTCAAAGAAATTGACAGGTTAAGTGAAAAATATTCTATGCTATTTATAATAATTAGAACAAAGGAACTTTGTTATAGGTGCTATATATAGACCTCAAGATTTTGATAAAAACACCTTTTTAAACGTTTTAGAAGAAAAGTTAGAAAATATCAATAACCATAAAAAGAAAACATTTATTTTGGGACACTTTAATATTAACTGTTTAGATAAAAATGATATGTACAAAAAAAACCTTGATTACCTAATTGATTCACTAAATTTTATTACTTTAAATGATAGCATTCCAACTAGAGTGCAGAATAATTCAACAACTTTAATTAATTATGTTTTGTTAAATGATGGATATTCCAGTAATTTGGCTGTTATTGATTACTGTTTAAGCAAGCGATTATAGAATACAGATATTGCAAGAAAAACTATGCAATTCAATTAGCAATGAAAATCATAAATGTTTTAAGTTAAATACGTTAGCATGTAGAAGAGATCTTCAAGGTATAATTAACACTGTGTGGCAGGATCCAAATGTCTTGTGTGATCAAATAGTGAGAACAGTCCAAAGCAATACCACCTGTAGGACATATAAAGACCATTTTAGAACTAAAAGTTGTCCATGGTTTAGTATTCATTTGCATAACCTAATCAAGCACAGAGATACGTGTTATAAAAGGCATAAGTCAGTGGTTCCCCAACCGAATTCTTCTTCTGTGATATGATATTATAAATTTTGTACCTTGTAAGACCCACATAGCTCTGGGTCTAAATATACCAAATTGTATTCTTTTTTTTTATTAATAAACTTGATGAACCTTAATGGCTTGTCTCCTTAATAAGCTTTAAAATACTCACTTATATAATGAAAATGATGATGTAATATATAGCATGTCGATTTGGAAATTCTATTTTTCAAATTTTTACACTCTGGGTTCATTATAATTATTTTAGGGTGTGGTCAAACGTCGAAATATAATTCTAAACCATTATGGGTCCTTATTGTGCCCTTGTCCACTATTAATTTTTTCAAGTCAAAATTTTTATCAAAAGTGGCATCTAAACTATAAAAAAGAATAATTCAATTTTGAATATTTACGTTATATCAGGTGCACGTCATTAGTTTGTAACAGCAAAAAAGCCTCTGGATAGCTGCAATCTTTAAAATATGTACACCCGGATCTTACTACTGTTTTAATCCATCTTTTCCAACAACAAAAACAATAACGACTTTATACCATTTTTTATTATACATTCTAAATTATTCTGTACACGATTAGGATCAGAAATGATCATTCAAATGCGATAGACCGACGTTCTTGTAATGCCTCCGTTCCAACCTCGCGTCGCTCACCAAATTAAGCTTTTCCGGTGGCGGCAGAGGGTACGACAAATCCACGTTGCTGCGATTGAACAAATAGGGAAAATGTCTGCGATGAACCCGTCTAAAATCGCAGGTCTCCAGAGACAATATCGTCGTGTTTTTCTCATAGGGAAAGGGATATAAAGCTTTTGGCATTATCAAATAAAATTATGTCACATACAACTATGACGTGAGTCATAGAGTTGTCTTATTCTTTATTATAATTTTTGGCCTTTTACTTTTTCACTATTCCAGTTTTGACACAACAAATAATACATCAACCCCTTCAATAATAACCTAGACATTTCAAACCTTTGACAGTTACGTTGACAATAAGAAAAATAAAAAAAAATAAGAATTTCCATGAATATTTTTACATTTTTTAAGAATCATAACGAAATTTAAACAAGAGCAATATCAAAAAACAAAATAATTATGAATATCGTAAAAAAACAAACTAAAAAATGCAAAGGTAAAGTCATTATACATACCTATTTTAAAATATTCAAATTTACTACAATTATTTAACAAATTTATCATAATTCTTCAACAACTGAACATACTCGCTTTTGCAATTTTTAGCTAATACTATATACGAGGGTAATTCGAAAATTTCCTCCAATCCATCTGACATGTCACAAAACGAATATAACCTAAAAAACTAACTAATTTGACATAATTATCGCTCACCTCGTTATCCCCGCCGGCACCGTCATCAAATCTGGCTCCACCAATGGCATCGATTTCGTCGAAGAAAATGAGGCAAGCCTTCTTGGATCTAGCCATCTCGAACAGTTCTCTGACCATCCTCGCACCTTCTCCTACGTATTTTTGGACCAGCTCGGAACCTATGACACGGATGAAACAGGCGTCCGTTCTGTTGGCCACCGCCCTAGCACACAGAGTTTTGCCTGTACCAGGGGGACCGAAAAGTAGGACACCCTTGGGAGGTTCTATGCCCAGTTTCACGAATTTTTCAGGCTGTAAATAATTGTAAGGAAAAATTGTAACATATATTTCAATTTCAAATCACCTTATGTGACTATAATTATAAGTAGAATTACATTTTAATTTTATGCTATTTAAATCTTAAAAAAAGCAAACAATTATATGTTCTAAAAAATAAAAATTGAACAGATTTTTGTACTAAAGTAGTAGAAATGTGGTAACAATAATTCGATAAGAGATAGTAGAATAAGTATATTATATATGAATAGTAATTGCGTGATATATTATTTAAAATTAAAATACATAATTAATTACATAATTGCTTTGGAGTATCCACTGTCTTATCTCTTTTTTACTCTTAGAATATGGTTTTACTTTAATATCATTAGGAAGGCAGTTAAAGACTTTTAGACCAAGACAATAAATATGATTTTGGCAAATGATGTGCTTGGGGTTTTGGCGTGTGACATTGTTTTGAGCTGCATTTCTTGTGTTACGCCCATGGCTTATGGATTCCTTATAATAGGAAAATTTTAACATGAACCTAACTACTGCTTTAAGGTGTAACTGTCTAATAACTGACTCTCTTTGAAAAGCAATTCAGTAGGAGACCTTTTATTTTTAAATAACATAATTTTTATTATTTATTTTTTTGCAACCTGTAATTTGTTTAAAACCGTCACTCCGGCACTACCCCAAACCACCAACCCATAATTCAAAATTGATTCAGCCAGTGCATAATACACCATCTTTAATGTATTGTGGAATGAATATAAAAATAAAAGAAATATAGTTGTTAGTTCATTGAAGTGCAAGAAAAAAGAGTTTTATGAACATAAAATAGATGAACACAAAAAAGATTCTAAGGAAATGTGGAAAACACTAAAAAAATTAATTAAAAGTAAAAATATGGAAATTAAATTTGACTCTGTTGGTTTTCTGTTGATGGATCTGTATCTTTCGCTAAAACGGAAGAAGAAGAAGAAGAAGAAGAAGAAGAAGAAGAAGAAGAAGAAGAAGAAGCAGCCAACAAATTAAATAATTTTTTTTGTAAATAGTATATGTGAAATAACAAATTCAATACCTTCAACTGATGATTGCTCACCAAATTTTTTTTAATGATATTCAATCAACATTAACTGATTTTAAATTAATTACATTAGATCAACTAAAAAAAGCTGTTTTTTCGTTAAAAAATAAGGGAAGCTATGATGAGATATTGAGTGAGAAAGGAAACCTTTTATACAACTGGCTTTGCAGTGTTAATTTTAATAAACACGTCACTAGAAACAGGAACATTTCCTGATAGACTAAAAGCAAGCAAGATAGTTCCAGTCCAAAAATTGCAAACAATACAAATGCATCCAACTTGCGACCTATAAATATACTTCCGACAATTGAAAAATTATTAAAAACTGTAGTTCGTGACCAAATATTAGAATACTTTAATAACAATGGTTTGTTTGTGGGAAATCAGTCAGGATTTAGGGAAGGCCATTCATGTGAAACGTCTTTACAGTTAACTATATCTAAATGGAAGCAAGTACTTGATGAAAATAAATATATAATAGCAGTTTTTCTAGATTTTAAACAAGCTTTTGAGACAATAGATCGTAAAATTTTGATTAATAAATTGGAATATGGTTTTGCAGGACGAGTCCTGACCTGGTTTGAACAGTATATGACTGATAGATTACAATATGTAAAGCTAGGTAAATCAACATCTGAAATGCTAAAAAATAACTTAAGAGTACCGCAAGGAAGTATATTAGGGCCGCTATTTATCTTATATTTAAATGACATTAATTATATTGAGTGTGACTTTATTAATCTATTTGCAGATGATACACTGGTAGCATGTTATGGGTATAACCTAGAGGACATTTTAAATAAACTGAATAATATATTGAGAGTCTTAACCCAGTTTTTAAATAAAAATAAACTTAATACTAAAAAAAACGAAAGCAATGATTTTGGGAAGTAAATATAAATTAAATCAAATAAACTATAATAGATACAACATTAGAAATGAAAACTTAGGATTTATTTTAGATGAAAATCTATTATTGAAACCTCACTGCGAATATGTATGCAAAAAACATCAAAAAAGCTATTTTTCTTCTCAAGGATTACTTCAAATCTCTCCCTTTTTTCTAGATTAACAGTATAAAACTATTATACAATCTCATGTTGACTACTGCAGATCGTTACTGTATAAATTGGGTAATAGTGTTTACAAAGACTACAAAAATTGCAAAATAGAGGAATGAGAATAATCCTTTGATGTAACAGATACACACCAATAAATGGTATGCTGACCACTTTAAGTTGGATTTCAGTCAGACAAAGATTTTATTATTTAGCAATGACTTTCGTTTATAAAGTAAAAAATAAAAAACTTCCTGAGTACTTCAATGATTTTATCATCTACAATAATGAAATACATAACTACAATACAAGATATCTATTTTTATATGGGATTACATGAATTTAATGCTGTGCCTAGTGAAATTAAAATGAGTACCTCTATACCTCAGTTTAAAAAATGTTTAATACAATTTATTTCCAGTTTGTAAATTAAATTAACTAAATTAACTTTGTATGTTTACTTTAATATGTATTTATTTTATTTTAACTTTAGTACTAAATGTTTTACTTTTATTACTAATTCTATCAAGATTTTATTTTATTTATTCAACTGAATTTGTGCAGACTGACGATAATATATATTTTTTAAAAAAACTACTATGTATTAGGACTTCCTATATTAAATAAAGATTCTTCTTCTAAATGCAAGAATATGTTAATTTTATTTAAGAAAAATTTGACAACAGTGTAGTTATATTGAATCCTTCAGTGTTAAATAAGATCTAAATAAATACATGAATTATTAAACTAAACTTACTGACATAAATTCCCTTAATATTAGTTGTTTCGATTTTGTACATAGTTTATCATTATTATGACATAGTATTTAGAATGACTCTATTTGAGGTTTTTTTGTTTTTATTTGTACTGAAAGTGGGCAAGACTCGTGAATAAATAAATAAATAAAATAATAAAAAATAGGAATAATCCTTCATCTTTCAGACAACAAATTTCATTGACTGGATATCATTCTAGGTGTAAAAAACATATTTTTGCTGTTCTAACCAAAAAAAGTATATCATATATTTTTTGTCAGTTGAGTTGACATTTTAAAAGCAAAATAATAGAAATGTATAAAAAATTATTAGTGACTAAAAGCAGAAAAAACAAGAAACTCATAACAAATACCATTAAAAATAATAAACAAAATGGAAATGAGCTCAAAGTACAAACTAGCACTGCTGAAATACATATTTTTAACAAAAATTGGTAAGTATCATATACTAAAACTAACCTTAATTTTAATAATAAGAATCCACTTACATGTAATAAAGGAGTCTCGACCACTTCCCTCAATTTCTCTATCTGCTCTTTACACCCCCCGACATCGCTGTAAGTAACATCAGGTTTTTCTTCCACCTGCATCATAGTAACAGTGGGATCAATTTTAGGAGGCAACGGTATATGAATTTGATACTTATTACGATCAACTCTACAATCAAAACATAAATTAAACCCAATATAATGCAATTCTTAATGATTTCTTACCCTACTCTCATGCCTTCTTCAATATCAGTTGGAGCAACTGAATCGGCCAAGTCAACCACAAATTTAGCAAACTGTTTAACGTTGATAATATATTTGGGATCGTCTGTGTCGGCGTTAATAATTTTGGTGCAACGAGCTACTTGGAGCGGTTGCTCATTTTGTAAAGTTTGCTTATCAGCTGCCAAATCCCATAACGCTGGTGGTGCTAGACCCGTATCTGACTCTTTAATACCTGTTAATTCGTTAACTCTTTTTATTATGGTTTGTATGTCCTCTTCGCACGTTTTGATGGTCTTTGTGTATTGGCCTTGGCCCTGGTTAAGGGATTTTTATCATTTATAGTAGATATAGGTTAAATTTAATATAAAACGTTGTGTATTAAAATAATTTGAATATGTTACTTACGTAAGTCTTTAAAAGGGCTATATCCCCTTCATCCAGAGCTGTAAATTAGAATAAATAACGTATAATCGCCAAACAGACAGAATTGAATTTACAAAAGATTATTTAGATTAAAAAGGTATTTTACCTTTTATTTCTTTTTCCGGTTCCTCCTTTTCGTCCTTGATTTTCCGCATATCGCCCCCTAAGTGATCCGGCATTTTGATATTTTATTTGAAAATGATTTTCTAATACAAAAAGGTTGATTTTCTTTATTTTCGTGGAAGATTACAAGCAAAAATTTGAGAAAAGTCAGTAGTGACAGTGACACTGTTGACAGTTGTCGGTTCTGTCAATTGTCAATTTTTTTTAGGCATATTAGTGGATGATTTTGTTTAACCGGATCGGTTTATGTCGTCATTATGAATAAATCTGAATATTGAAATTTAAGGACTTTATTTAAACTTAGTTCAAAGTAAAAATATGGACAGCAACAACTGCATACAATTAACTTATAAAAACAGAAACATATATTAACAAGCTAATTATAAATTCGAAAAGATATTTTGAGAAAATATGTTCTAGTAAGTAAGATATCTTCTGGGACAGTAGAATATCCCTATCGCTTTCAGATGGTCTCTAAAAAGTAATTATAAATGTCAAAATAAAATAACACCAATATAACAAAAGATAATCTTGCGTAAAATCGAGTACTATCCTGTAGCATAAGGATGTAAAAGTCCGCGTTGACTATTCTCGGACAAAATATTGCAGAAAGTGATTCCTCCCTGTTCACGTACAACAATAATACTATACCAGAGCATAATGAACGGAATCACGCCCTTAAAACTGCAGAAGTTTTCGGTATCGCGTGCCAACTAGTCATAAATGCATGTTTATTGCCAAAATAAATTACGACAGTGGCGTATAAAAACTATTGGCAAATTAAATGCGGTAATAGTAAATAATATTATATGAAAGTAGGTTGGTTATCTATTTTTGTAGTAATAATCATTTATGTTTATAATTTTGTTTTGTTTATTGTTAAAATATTTAAATATTATGCCAGTGGCGTAGAAATACTATTGGAAAATTAAATGAGGTATTATACAAGAACAAAATATTGAAGAAGGTGCTCCTTAAAACTGCAAAAGGTATATCGTTATCATATCAAAATGCACTCTTCCAGTGTCGCAGAAATACGATATTGGCAAATTAAATGGGTATTTGTGAATATTAGTACATGAAAGCAGATTGGTTATCTATTTTTTTTTTATAATAATTCATCTATGTTTATAATTGTATTTTGTTTATTATAAAAATATGTAAATTAAGGTTAGTATCACTTACTTGAATTCTAAATCATGAAGTTTCGTAATCCATTGATTCTGCAGAACTATCACTGGAATCGTCTTCATCGTCGGAACTTAAAGTTATGACTAAAGGTTCAACTACCGTTTCGATCATACCGTCCAAGCGCCACATATTATTTTCTTCCTTAATTACATATGGGAAATAGCAATCTGTCAATCTTCAGGTTTTATACATTCTATACCGGTTTTTAATAAACTTTGAACATCGGCTATTTTAAAAGTCCATTAATTCCACTTTAAGCATCTCCTCAGTAAATGTTATTGCTTTATCCCGCAGCCAGGTTTGCATATCCGCTTTCCTTCTTGACATTATCGGAATGCGTTCAACTCGTCGACTGTGATAAGAAGCGTTATCTAGTACAATAACTGAATTTCGTTCTACACGCTGTAATACTTCAGCAAACCATTTTTCAAAGCATTCCGCATTCATGTACTCGTGGTAGTCTCCTGTTTTTCCGATAAAAACACAAGAGCGCTATTTTACAAAAATCCACTTTCACTTCCGATATGGATAACAATTAGGCGCTGCCTTTACCTGATGGTGCTTTTAAACCTTTAGATAATCCCTCTATAAAAGCTTGGCGATGACTAGTTACAAAAGTATCTTGCCATATCTTAGATATCGTGTGTCCAGCATTCACCCACGTTTCATCGAGATAGTATATCTTTTTTTTAGCGGCTCTAAACTCTTTAATATTTCGTAAATAACACCGTCGCCAGTACACTATATCTGACCTCTCAATTAAAATTGATTTCCTACACCGTTTGACAAAACGAAATTTTAGGCCACATAAAATTTTTATAAAGTTTCACGGCTCATTAATGGAATTTCTTCGTTTTCTCTTAATTTCGTAAGAACAACTTTAAGTGTTGGGGCTTTGTTTTCGAAAAAAAAAAAAAAAAAAAAGAATGTACAGTTCTTCGAATGATTTGTTTTTGGTTATCGTCCAATTTCAACAATTTTCGACCACGGGAATGTATTTTAGGGGTTTCTAAGGAGCCTTTTTTTGTCTTTTCGCGTACAATACGTTCAATTTGTAGGAAGTGTCTGTTTCAGCCCATCATACATTTTCCATATAATGTTCTTTTCATCCTTTGATAAGGGCTTTCGCCGACGTAATTGGGTTTCACATGGACCCGCCTCTGAATCTATTACTATTGTAACAATATAATTCTACTATTAAATTGTTTTTATTAAATTTATAAAGACACCAATATTTTTCTATTTAATAAACTTTTAAAGACCTACCTAATATGCTACACAATAAATATAACTCCTCGAATATGCACTACCACTACCAAATTGTAAGGCACAAACATGAACACCTACTCGTATATCAGAAAAGATCACTTATACAAAAAAGTGTTTATAAAATATAAAATAATTAACGTAAATAGTTAAAGCGATACAAATGTAACTTCGTCGAAAGTTAGTTTTCAACTGTCTTTGAGCCTGTGCTGACAATATTCAATCTGTAACCCGTCTGTCGTTTATTTACTTGAAACACATTTTAAAACCATTAAACACAGATAACGAAGTCATTAGGGAATAAATATTTTCATTTCTTGAAAACTATCAAAAACGTATATTTAACGCATCATCTTTGTTTAAATAAAGATGTTGACAAACAAATTTAATAAAGTTTACTAACAAATACCTAATAAATAATAAATAATTATTTGGTGTTTGATACGCCGCCTATACCGACTCTGTCGGAATTTTCATTCACAGACAACAGTCTTGATCATGCATATGACTCACCTTCTCCAATATTTTGTCCGAGTATAGTTAACAATCAATACAAATTGACCATCAGCCACCTTCGGTGGGTTGAGACAGGTACATAGATGCCGAGCATAATAAATTAATTCTAGCTTATAAGGTAAATAGGCTGGTTTTTAAAGGGAGGTTAGTCAATAATAAATCACAATAGGGCATTTTATTTTTGCAATTTGTCAACTGTATTTTTCGACTTCGCTGTGCGGCTGGATGTCGCTTTCTTTGTGAATTCTATATATGTAGGTATAATACGAGTAGTAATACTGAAATCTAATTGTGAAATAACATAAAATAATTATGGTCTACACAATATGTCGCCGCAACCCTTCGATGTGCATACATAGTATTATTAGTATGGGCAGGGGTGGGTAGCTCAGTGGTTATAGAGTCAGGACTTTGTGATCCAAGGGTCCCAGGTTCGAATCCCGCCGTTAATTTAATGAATTAAATATTCATTTTAATGCATGGATATAAGATTTCCCACTAGACAATTCACTGTTGGGTTCTAATTAACAGTGGTTTCTAAAGTAGCGCTGGGAACAGTAACAAAGCCTACACCGAACACGAACAGAGGATGTCGATGACACAAAAAAAATAGAATAGTATGGGCCCGAGAATGAGTTCTTGTGGTAACAACTCTATATAACAATAATACAAATTGTTATTTTATTGCTATAAATTTGTTTTTAGGGTAACAAAATCCAATACAACAATTTAAAATGATTCGTTTTACACAATTATCAAATCATTTTACGCAGATTTTTATAGAATTATTAATGATATTGAAAATTCTAATTATTGATCTAAAGATGTTATGAAAAGAAACATAAAAATGAAAAGAGACATCTTTCACTTCAAAATTATTGATTGCATTTTCTGCAGGTGTTAACACATTAATCAAATGCTTAAAGTTTCTGGTTATTAAACTCTGTGGGCGTATTTTATCAAAAACCACCCCTTGTTTGGTCAATATGTTTCAGACGAAATTTAATATGCGTTACTAAGAGATTTTTATATATACCTTATGTACCTACATGCGTGAAATTTTTATTAAGGTGCTAGTGCTATTTATTAAATAGAAAAGTAAATTAGTATATTTTGTGAATAGATTTTTTATTTCGAAAACATGTCTTTTTTGAAAAAATATTTGCTGTTACGGAATAGTAAAGGTAAGTTACTTTTTTTAATTTAATTACAGGATTCTTTTGTTTACATATACCTACGCCAGATTTTACAAATAATGTATTTAAAACTGGAAAATGTTAATACATCATATGAGATTTGCTGACCTTTCAGAGCCTTTGACAATGTTTTAAAAGGCACCGCGGCAAACATGGTTCTTCAATCCTTTTTAATTGAATCGGTATCTTTATTACTATGAAAATTGCTTTTTATGTTTTGAATTTGAATATTATTACCAGAAAATATTTTAATAAAAGTAAAAACCATGTTTTAAAGCTTAGTAGAAGTTTAAAAAAAGTGCGTGTTTTTAAAATAATATTTCGTATAGCCCTGGTAGATATAAACGATCAAATCTACAACTAATCGAAGAAAAAGGAAGAGGTATACACTTGAAATGTAAATTTTAATATTATAATTATATTTCCACCTACAAGTTTCCATTTAAGAAAGATTAAATCATTTCGTATCGTCTCTCTTTTAATATAATTAGAGGTCATTTTATTACTTAACAAACGCAGTTTTAAACAGCACACGATGCTATTGAAAATTCTAAGTTGGATTTACATACTTTTTTTCGAAATGGTTTTCCGCATACCAGCCTTTTTTAATCTGACACCACCCCACGAAGGTAAGGTTAAAATTTTGACAATTCAAATTCAAAATTGGCGTTTCAATTATACATATCGATAAAATTAAAATTTCTAATATAACCCAAAAAACAGATACGTCGAACATTGTTTTCTATTATTTGTGAAATATAATGGCTATACAATGTAAATTAATAAAAAGATTTTAAAAAAACTGACGCAGCTTTTTAAAAGTGACACATTTTTAATTTTGACAGGCGGGAAAATGTTCCCGTATCTCGTGGATGAAAGAGAATGTAAAAATTTAAAGAAAAGTGATTCGAACCAAAGATGTGACAAGTACGACGAGGATATCAAACAAGGAGACTACTATTGCCTGAAAAATAATTATATATCACCCAGGAATCATTTAGAAAGTAAGCAAATTTAATTTTTTTTTTATTGAATTTCTTATTGGATTTATTTTTTATTTATAAATGTTACAAGAAGGTAATGTTTTTTATTACTACCATAGGTAAGAAACTAACAAAAAAGTTAGGTAAGACCTACTTATTTAATTAGATATGTCTTTACTATGATTATTTTAATTTGATTCAAACCAAAGATGTATATTTTTCCAAATTAAGTAAGAACAACTATATTTTATTAATAAGTGTAAATACCAGTAATCTATTGAGAACAATATGTTTTAGATTTTAGCATTTTATACCATTTAATTTTGTATACAATTTGTAAACAGTAAAAACTAGAAACCAAGAATAACTGGTACACGTATTATTTGTCTTCTATGCAGGGCCCCCGTAAGAGCTACTACCGCCTGTGTGTAAAAAAGGATTTTGGCGCCCCTTAAGGCATTTTGGATCATGTTTTTTTTAATTTTTTTTAAGGTAGGTGCTTGAAATAAAGCAAAAAATTGAACTTTAGAAGTCATATTTATTTGTAGACTAAAATAACAAATGAAACAAGCAGAATAAAATCATAACAAAATAAATTCTTGTTCACACCCATTTTAAAGCATTTACTTAACTAATGGGGTACAGACACATTTTTTAGGAACAAATAACAGAAATATTGCATAATGTCCAGGGCCCCCGCAAGGGTTATCGCCGCCCGCGTACCGGAAATATTTTGGCGCCCTTTGAATATATGTAGTACTTATACAGGGTGGGGACTTTAACTGGCGCAAATTCGCTACAGCTTCACGTTGAAAAATGCGGATAAAACGCAAAAACACGTCGATTGAGTTTTTATGTAAGCTTTCCGGTCACACCAAAAAAAATTATTTTTTCACCCCCTTTACAGGGTAAAACTCACCCCGACTTCAGTTTTTTAAATGGGATGATACCACTTGTGTCGCCTTGTTGGAAAGATCTTTCCAAAAGAAAATGGATTGTGCCATTTTTTTTCCATTTTTACCCATTGGTAATTTTCTAGCGTGAAAAAATTATTTCATATCAAAAAATTCTTCTGATGCTTACAAAACCATTCTAAGGTACAGTTTTAAGTGGTCAGTATTTTCTCAATTTGTTTTTAGAAAAGTGTATGAACCGATTTATCTCAATTTGGATTTTTTATTGTAAAAAATGGACTCGAAAAAAATGAAGGTAAGTATAGGTACAAAAAAATTATCGCATCTTTATCAATTATAAGGCTGCAATGAATCAATTTATTGTCTGTCGAATTAGTATTCTTCATTTTCGTTAAAAATGCCGGCTTATTGTAATAATTGGCATTATTATTAATTGAAGAAATCTAAAGAATTTACCAAAAATTCTAAACAAGTATTTAATGTTTAAATTAAATAATTAAAAAGGCACTTATGACAATGAAACAAACCTTCAATTTATTAATCTACATTGAACGTGACATTGTTAAATACAATCAACAGTCACATAAATTTTGGTTTATATAGAAAAGAATCACTTGGGTAAACGCTCAGTCGGGTTCGGACTAAGGTCCAGAACTTTCGCCTCTTGGGCGCCCCTTGGGCGAAAGTTCTTGTTTTGTATTGTAAGGTAATGTGTAAAGTTTTTTGTGTACGATGTGAATTATGGGTAAATATAGTGCTTTATTCCCTAAATGGAATTTTATTCATTTTTTTCTGAAGACTATTTGTCAAGTTTTATATTTATTGTTAATATACATTTGTTAATGTTTTAATACTTATTATTAATCTCTCCTCCCTTCCCAAACCAGCAAAATACTCCGAGCATTTGAGAAGCCTCGGCGTTTCTATTCCCTTAGGACCAAAAGAGTCTAAAACTAGTTGCCAAGAACCGCTCAACATATGCTATTAAGGGATGTTTTTTTTGTATTTTATTATTTTTTCTTTATTATTTTCTTTTGCCACTGGCGAATGGATGTTCCTTCAGGACTCCAGGACCCTTTGGCTGGTGACGTCGCTGCCCTAATCCCTTAATAGTATATTAACAACAGTAGCTAAAGACCTATTAGTAGTTACAAATGGTCTTTATGCTAACTGGTTGTTACATTTGGTGACGAGCGTTGGTCTTTATGCTAACTGGTTGTTACATTATTTAACGGAAACTTTGAAAATAGAAATTTTGATGGTGATTGGGTTCGGGGATCGGATGCGTACCCAAGCAGAAGTTGCGGCATTATTTCAAGCGCGACATCCAGAATTGCCTCCGTTACACCGGACTACAGTAGGCAAAATTGAGGCTCATTTCAGGTTGCACAGGCATTTACGGCAAATTCCTCGAGAAAGGCCACAACGAGTAGCCGAAGACACTAGACTAAATGTTCTTCTAACATTTGAGGAAAATCCAATCGTTCTGCCCATAGATATATAACCAAGACAGATAGGATTATTTACAAAATTTTTGAAGAATGAACGGTGGTGTCCGCGGTAGAAACTCAATAATCGGATTGAACATTGATGCAAAGTTTACGTGCTTTTAACTATAGATATATATAACCAATACAGATTACACAATTTCTGAAGTTAACGCGGATGATCCTCGACAGAAATGCAATATTTGGATAAAATTAAAATATTGATGCCAAGTTTGCGATGTTTTTAACTGTAGTAATGTTATTGCGTTTGCTTGAATTACTGTTAGGTCTTTAAATTGTCAAAAAAAAAAATGTCTGACAACATCGGAAGTACAGTAGACCGCAATTGTGGAGGGTCGTATATTGTTTCATTCATAAAAATTCCTTCGATACAGTACTAGTCCAGGAGCCAGTGAATTTTTTCGTACTTGTTTTCCCGGTCCGTGTATATTTAAATAATCTATTCCCGGTAAACTGTATATTTAAAATGGAACGCCAATCTATTAACAAAAGTAAGCCAGATTGAATTCGCGCATTACGTCACATCGATACAAGTGAGATTGTTTACAAAGTGCCTTTGCAGGCCTATTTTGCCCATTTCATGTATTTGTTTTTAAATCATGTTAAATTACTATTTTTGAAACTCAACAAGGAGAAAATCCAATTAACTCTTCCGTTGTGTATATATAAAAGATAAATTAACTGCAGTTTTATTAGTAAAGTATTAATACTAAAATTTTAATTTACAGAAAATAGCTAGGTATGTATTTGTTTTTAAATAATTTGATAATTTATGAAAAAAGGGAGTAAAAGTGGAATGACCAGTGGCCAGTAGGTCAGTCAATACAAAGTATCATATATTTCTATTATAACATAACTAAAATACCTACATCTTTTAATCATAAGGACATAAGTTAAAAACCATTTTAATATATGCATTAGAATGAAGTAATAATAACTTAAAGAGACGAGGTCTTAAAGTAATAGCTGGTACAGCATGTTTTTTAAACGTTTCCTCATTGCTGCTAGAATTAAATCACTTACTATGAAATGTGCTCTAAAAACGGCATTTATAGCAGTCAATGTTCAGTCTTAGGATCTCTTCCTAAAGTCCTCATCCAAGCTGCATACATATTAGAAAATAATTAAAAAAACACATATTATATACCTATATAGTTTTCGGTTCTGGGTGCCCTAAAAGAGGACACTTAGCCGACAATTTGGCTCAGATAGCTAAAACCCAAAAGTCACACCCCGAACCAGGACGTATTGCTATCCTTTTAAGTAAAAAATAACTACAAATAACTTACCTGAAAAATGAAGGCGTTTAACTTTACACCAAAAAAACCATACACTTTTTCCCATTGTTGCAAGCACCCGATGACGATTAGGTAGATATCAACTAGAAGCATGTACTTAATGGTTATAAAGCTTATTTTAACACAAAAAGAATAAAGCACTAGTCGAAAAGCAGCAATCAAATATAAATAAACCACAATATTAAAATTCAAATTAAAAACTATATAAAAGACAAATACTCTAAAAGCGCAAAAGATCAGAACCAAATAAAATGAATAACCATAATAACCTAAAAATCACACTAAAATTGCAAAAACTATTACTGTAAAATCATGAGATTACATCAATAATGCATATGCGTCGGAGTATCGCAAATGTCAAAAGTACAGTGTTTCCATGAAAATTTAGTTATGTTTTTAGCAGTATTATAGGACCATTTCTACCACCACTTCTAGTATAAATGATTTGACATAACGAAACTAACAATAATTATAATTAATGTAGAGTAATAAGTGATTCGTTGAATTCTAAATAAAACAATTATTATATAAAAGTGTAAAAGGAAATGTAATTTATTTCCCTATTTTCTTCTGTAATATCTTCAATTATTATGTTTAATTTCTGTAAATAAACCAACTGCTTAGGTGAAACATTGTGATATAAGATTTTATTTATGTGTCCTATGCGTACACTTTTAATATACAAAACACCTGGAACATTCTTTAAATAATTGTGGTCGTAGAAATAATTGTGTACATAACTCGTTTGAAAGTGTATTTTATGCACTTACCAAATATATTATCCATACAGATTAATCAGACTATTTTTTTACTTAACTTCAGTACATCTCTTACTACTAAAACTATTTTTATCAATGGAAAAAAGGGCCGTGTTCTCGTATGTTTTGACGCATTTTCGGCCTCAGCCCATCGGATCCCCCCTCTAAATATATATGAATTTTGCTTAGAATTGCTAATCCTACAATTCTCTATTCGTGCTTGCTGACTGGGAAAATAAATACCGAAAATCATCACTGTCTCCTGGACTATACAATAGATGATGATGAGAACTTCACAACAAATACACTTTTATGAATGGCTAGTTGGGGATGTGGTTCTGCCAGACGAGTAAGTAGGGAATTTGATTTGTCCCATAAAACTGTATTGGCTATCTTGAAATCTGCTGGTAAAAGACCCTGTGCATGAGTTGATGGAAGATGATCCCGATCGGAGGGTGGAGTTTTGTGAAACCATAGTGAGACAAATCGATGATGGAAATATTTTACCGGATTGGATATTGTTTTCCGATGAATCAACTTTTACCTTAATTGGAGAGGTGAGTCTTTTTGATTAGGCACCTATCGATAACTCGCAACAATATTGTTAAATCTGTACGCTTTAGGAACGTTAGTGATCAAAGATCTTTAATTTTTGTGTCTTCATTTTTAGGTAAATCGTTAAAATTGTAGATACTATGCAGAAACAAATCTACATTGGATAGTTGAGCAGCATTGTCAATATCAAGGAAAAATCAACGCATGGGCTGGAATAATTGGAGATAGAATTATTGGACCCATATTCTTTGACCAAAATTTAACCGTCGACAGATGTTTGGAATTTTTACAAAATACGTTGGTACCTGAACTTATCCAAACGTTTCCGACAGAAGATGGAACCATTGATCAAAGAATTTTCTTTCAACAAGATGAGGCTCCACCCCATTACGCTCTCAATGTACGACAGAAGGGGATTTATTGTATGGCCAGCTAGATCTCCTGATCTTACTCCATTAGATTTTTATTTATGGGGCTTCTTAAAATGTAAGGTATACGCCACAAGACCCAATAATATTGAAGAGATATAGGATAGAATTAGAGAAGAAATTCGGCAAATTACACCAGAAACATTAAGAAGGCTTCAAGCTGAATTTTACCACCGTGTTGCTCTTTGTCAAGAAATAAATGGTGCTCATTTTGAACAGTTGCTAAAATAAAAAGAAATAAATCTACTTAGCGAGTAGAATATGTATTATTTTTTATTTAAATGTAAAACAAAACTTAATTCCATTTTCATGTTCCTTTGATTAATTTGGGTATTCCTAACCATGTAGATGGTTAAATTTTGTGTAAATTTTTAAGATAAAACACACTGACTATAATTTTAGAGCCCAGTTTATGCACAACTAATTTTTCTTGAATTTCGTCCCCGATTCTTCTTTTTTCACGCTAGAAAATAGCATAACAGTTAAAATGAAAAAAAAAATGGCACAATCAATTTTCTTTTGGAAAGACCTTTCCAACAAGGTGCCGCAAGTGGTACCATCCTATTTAAAAAAATTAGGTCGGGGTGAGTTTCACCCTCTAAAGGAGATGAAAAAAAAAATTTTTTTTGGAATGACCGAAAACTTACAAAAAATCTCAATTGACGTGTTTTTGCGTTTTATCCGCATCTTTCAACCTGAAGCTGTAGCGAATTTGCGCCAGTTAAAGTCCCCACCCTGTATAAATAATATTTTGAATAATAACAACTTTAAGCTGTTACATACGTTTTTTAAATTTCCTGGTTTGCTGTAATATTCTTGTAGTTATTTAACATTTGAGCGAATTGCGAAATCACATTTTATTTTAATTTTTGTAATGAGACAACAGATATTTCAAAAACCAATATTTTATTCTTACAAACGAAAAAACAAACCAAACAGTAAACAAATAAAACATTCAATTATCCAAAAATTAGATTGTTTTTTTTTTATTTGGCTGCTGCAAATTCTTTTATAATATTGTCAAAATCAATTTAATCGAGGATTTCTTGCTCTATAGCTAAGATTGCCAAACCCGATAATCTTTCTTAACGAAATGGTAATATTTGATAGAGATGAAGTTAGATTAGCATTTTAAAAGATCCTCGTCATTTAATTTAAAAATATTACTAAAAAAACCAACAACGTTGTCGTAATCATTTCAAATCTACTATTTAAAGAACTTCGTGTGTATTTATACCTAATCCTATTTAATTTCTCAACTTTTATTTTAAAATTAATTTATGTTTTTTTTTGCAATTTTTTTTTTCTCTGGGTTTTGGCGCCCCTAAAGGATGGCGCCCGTGTGCATTGCACACTTTGCACATATGGTAGCGGGGGCCCTGCTTCTATGCAAAACTTGATAAAAAAGAAAACTTGTTTGTTTAAAAAGAAAACAGCGAATTAAATGTCACCTTGTCTTTATAGATTCCATGTCTCCTAACCTTAGCCCCCCAAAATCCCCAAATTCAAAAAAGGGGCAACAGAAACCGAGGAAAGACACACCACCCTATGACTATAAATCAGATGCTGCCAAAAAGGTATATCAGTAAGAAATAAACACATGTTGTGTACAATAATACGTATTATACATTTTAAAGGTGCTATACAGGGTGGCCACTTTTTTAATGGGATTGTATTAGTAATTCTCAATGCCGGTTTTTGGGTAATATGGACCGTAATCCAAATTTTATTGGTACGGATCTGTATTGATTTTATAATCAGTGTATAATACTTCGAACATAAAGTGATTAATTAGAAAAACAAATGGAAGAATCCAAGAAGAAGAAATAAGCAATAGCCTAAGAAATCTGAATATCAGAATCGCCAAGTGTATTGAAGAAGATGGCGGACATTTTAAACAATTACTCAATTAATTTTATTGATATTTTCAAATAATTTGATTATGACTTAGAAAAACTGAATTTCTTGTTATTATCAGTAATTGCGTTTTAAAATTTCTACATTACTATTGTTGTTGATAAATTGTTTAATTTTCGGAGAATTACATAAATTTTGTAAGAATTGACTTTATTGACATTATGTCGATTCAACTAAAGATGGCTGAAACCAGGAGTAAATTTAATAAAATTTGGATTACGGTCCATATTGCCCAAAAACCGTCATTGAATGCCATTGTGCAATACACCGCTGGATGCAGGATGAAAAGTTATTTCAAATAATGTTATAAAATATCCAGGTTCATATTTAAAAAAAAAATAAGTTGAGGGTGGTTGGGAGAATACGAATGCAAAATATGAAAACGTCAAATAAAAGAAAATTTATTATCAAATAAAAAACCTTTAAAAATATTTTTTGGTGGTTCCAAAAATAAATGAACGATAACCAAAAAACCGAAAAGATCGAATTTTCTTTTATCGCAATATCTCAAGAACCGGGCCTGCTATTTTCGATTAATTTCCACCGCTAGATTATAATTCGAGATAGGCAACTTTTTCTCCATTTAACCAACTTTCTAACTAGTATGGTTTAGAAATTACTAATACAATCCCATTAAAAAAGTGGCCACCCTGTATATAATAGGAATATTTGTAATTTGTCTCTTTTGTGGGTCAAAAAATATAATACCTAATGAAATACGTCAATTATAGCAAAAAGAACTAATGTACTTTATTTAGAGAGCAATTAATAGGCCTACTCTACCCTCAACACTATCAGAAGTGTGTTTGAATACATAATATTTAAAGTTTTATGCATTTTATCTGTCTCATCGACTAGTAAATAGTATCGGAATTCCTCAAAGACCAGTCCTGAGACTGATCCTATATATTATATATACCATTGATTTTTATCGCCATGTATTTATTAGATATTTTTACCCAACACCAGACAAGTTATGAATTTATTATTTTTTTTTTTTTAAATATCCTTTAGGTATATGATTTCCTTATTTCACACTGTTAAAGGTAGATTTGATAGCTCTAAAAAGAGACGAACGTCGCCAGCGACAAGCGGACGAAAGAGCTTTGAGGGACCAAATCCATCATTTAGAACAACATGATCCACAATACGAATTCAGGCAAATGATCAACGAGTACAGAGGCGCCTTAGAGTTTAGGCCGCTACGAGAATCTGACGCCATTGTAGAAAACCAAATAACGGTAATTATTACAAGTATTCGCAGCTAACTTTGTTGTATAGAAGTGACGATAAATTTTCCAATTTTCGCAGGTTTGCGTGAGAAAACGACCGTTGAACGACAAAGAACAAAACAGAAGAGAAGTGGATGTCATGTCGGTACCCACGAAGAACCAATTGGTGGTACACGAACCGAAACAAAAAGTGGATCTGACCAAATACGTTGAGAATCAGGTTTTTCGATTCGACTACGTTTTCGATGACACTTGTACAAACGATTTAGTGTATAAGTTCACTGCCAAACCATTGGTGAAGACTATTTTCGAAGGAGGAATGGCGACGTGTTTCGCCTACGGCCAGACTGGGTCGGGGAAGACCCATACAATGGGTGGAGAATTTAAAGGTAAATAATAATGTTACGCAGGTTTTTGGTATCTCAATTTATTTCAACTCAACTTTTACACTAACAATATAATTGATAACATTTACGTATAACGTCTGTCATAAAACTGAAATCTGACGTCAGATCGTCGACTTATATAGCTCGCCTCAACCTTCTAGAACCTTCTCGAATAATCCGGATTTTTCTTTGACAAGGAATGATATTTCTAGATTATTCTATCTTCTTTATTTACTCGTACCTTTACTTATGATGACACCGCCCGCTGCAGGGTGCTGCGTAAAAATAACAATAACAAGTACTTTTACACTATTAATTTTCCTAGGTGGAATAATTGGGCCATAACGGCCTATAAAAAAATAATTTACTCAGATGAATTAGAAAACTAGATAAGTAACTATCAGAATTTGTATAGCTAGTCCTCTTTTTTACAGCTTTGTTTACGATTTTTTAATGATTTATACTGTCAACCCATTGACCACTTTAAAATTTAGCGCCAGAATGACTGGCGCTGACCAATTGGGTCACAGTACCACTAGAGAAAGATAGAAACATATACACAAGACCTGCAAGTGTCGACTCTCAGGGTTTGTCACTGTTTGAATTTATTTGTGCATTATTGTTCTAGATTTTTTTCTGTAATCTGGTGTAAGTTATTAAGAAGAATTAGTTTTCCTACTTTTACCATCAAGAGTATGGTTTTTGCATATTCAAATATCTAACTAGAAATGAGTTAGATGATTTAAATATTTCTAAACAAGCTTCAGAATTGTTAGCATCAATACTGTCTTCAACAACATAACAATCTATATTCGACGCTTAAAATCGTATACTCGTATATGAGATCATATTCATAAATAAAAACTGCAATTCGACAATTTCTTTGACTTAAAATTAAATCATTAAAAGTAAACCAATCTATTAGATTTGATTAATTATTAAATCAAATAATTATTTAGTTATTAAGTGATTACCGATAGAACACAATACGTCAGAATCAGTCAACAGCCACAGCTGATCACACTAGACCAGTGGTCGCCAACCTCTCAATGTGTTGAGCTACTTTGTTAATTTTGGAATAAACAGCGAGCTACCCACACGGAAGCCACGTAACCCAACGTAAATGAAATAAACCACAGTTAATTTATCATTATATGTATTTATTTTACTATTTAACTGGTAATACATAAAACATAGGTACTAATAATAAACTAATAACAAAATAACTAATATTACTAGTACGTACTTGTTCATAGCTACATTCCTACCTACCAAACGAAGGTATTTGGAAAATAAACACAAACTTTTATCAAGCCACAATGGCATGTCACGTAAGATTTAAAAATAGTTAATAATAACAACAAAAAAGTAACGCACTATCATGAACATAAACATTGAAAAATAAAAAAGCACGTTCAATGAGAAGGCTGACACTCAGACTCATCGATAATTTTTTTAATGTTTGCAGTATAATTTGATACAGCCATTCGAATACAATTATCCAAATGTTCATCTGTAAGTCGATTGCGATATTTGTTCTTAATAAACTTCATATTGGAAAAAGAAGATTCACACAAATAGGTTGAACTGAATAATGCTTTCACTTTCAAGGCAACACGGCATAGAACTGAATATTTGTCTTTACTTACAATAGGCCAGATACATTTGGTACTTGAGACTAACGATTTTAAGGCTAAATCATTTTGAAACTCAATTACTTCCATTTCTGTTGCAGATATCTTCGCCAAAGTTCTGCATAACACAAGTTGCAAACTGTTGGATATCAATTTCCATAAAGGGTGAAACAACAAACTGCGCTACTAAAGCCATTTCGTTGAAATCCTTAAAACGATTTTTGAAGTTATTCTTCAGGGTAGAAACTATTTCTACATGATATTTGCTGTCATAGGGTTCTAATGGATTTTGAGATATTTTTTTTTTGAAAGAATAGGAAAATGCTTGGCATCGCTGTTAGTTAGGTTTTGTTCCCAAAACTCCAGCTTTTTGATAAATGTTTTTATATAAGAAATCATTTCCGCTAGTTCTTTGTCTCTCCCCTGAAGCTGCAAATTAAGTTCGTTTAAATTCTCTGTAATGTCCACGAGAAAACCAAAATCTCTAAGCCAGATTGAATTTTCTAGTTCCGGAGTCGGTTCATCGCGTTGATTGAAAAATTGAACTATGCTAGATAGGACATCATTAAAACGTTTCAGCACCCGTCCTCTACTTAACCATCGGACTTCAGAGTGAAGGAGTAGGTGTCCGTATTGACAGTCAACTTCATCGGCCAAGGTTTTGAATAATCTTCTTTGTAACGCTTGAGCTCTAATCTTGTTCACAATTTTTACCACCAGTTTTATAACGTTGTTTAGTTTCAGGAAATTTCCACATAATGCTTGCTGATGGATAATGCAGTGATAACTGAGAAATTGCGGAAAATTTTCATCTTTACGACATAACGCCACCAGACCCTTATCACAACCCACCATACCTGGAGCGCCACGGTTGTCAAGCCTACCATTTTCGATATTGGAAATTTTCTCGGAAGAAATAATATTTTTTTAAATGAGAAAACAACTCCTGTCCAGTAGTGTGTCCTTTCAGTGGAATAAACTTCAAAAGATCTTCTTTAATCGTAAAATCACTAAAACCATCCTGACGAACACGGCCATCTGGGCAGTGTCAACGACATCTGTTGATTCATCCAGTTGAACTGAAAAATAAACACGGTTATCTAAGTCAGTTCTTAACTGTAAAAAAATATCATTGCTCATTACTTCTACACGTCTCATCACTGTATTAGCAGAAAGTTGCATAGATTTTATAGCTAAAACTATCTCGTCTTTATTTCTAAAGTTGGCAAATAACGAATCAGCAGCTTCTAAAAACGCCTGTTTTATCATTTCCCCGTCTTCATAAGGTTTCTTTTTTTGTGCAATTATCTGGGACACACGGTACGATGCTTCAGTTGCAGCCTTATTTTTGTCGACTGTTCTTAAAAATATTGATTGTTGTCCAATTAACTGCTTTTTTAACTGTTTCAGTTTCTCCTTTCTGGCGGCAGAATGTAGTGGAAACGATTTTTCAAAATTAGAATGTACAGTTTTATGATGTCTCTCAATATTTCCTTTTTTTAGCAACGGAGACCGAAGTATTACATAACAAACACACATTTTTATCTTTAACTTCTGTAAAAAAGTATTGTTCTTCCCATTCCGAATGAAAGTGGTATGTCTTCACCTTCTTACAACTGCTTGCCATAACATTATTTTTTGTTGTTCTCTACTAACCCAACCGCTGGACGTTGGTTACGCGTTCAGTTTTAAACTAAGCGCAATGTCGCCGCGCCGTGCGTATTTATCCCGTTCAAAGCAATCCTGATCGTTCTCGAACACTAACGCGCTGGTCGGTTCTAGCCGATTCTAGCTTAATGGTGTCAGCGGCAGATCGCTCACCGCAACGTTGCCGCTGTTTATGTTTAATATTATGACAATTAGATTTTTTTGTGGAATTTTGGGAAGCTTCTCTGATTTTTGCAGTTTGTATTTTTTAAATTAAAATCGTTGTGAGAGCTACCAGAATTGCCTCCGCGAGCTACCGGTAGCTCGCGATCGACAGGTTGGCGACCACTGCTCTAGAGTCTAGCGCACCAAAGTTATTTTGGCAATGGTTTATTTTTAATTGCAGTAAATAAAAGAAAGCTAAAATAAAAGTATAAAAGTTATTTTTTGAAAAAATATTTTATGTATTTTATAGATATTTGTAAAATATTTAAATAAATACTTTAAAAATATATTTTTATATATTTTGAACCAATAAATGCTACAATGATGTAGAAAATAAACAAATTAATAAGTATTTTAATCGGCAAATTATAATAATTATAAATACCTGTATATTAATTTACCTGAGAGTATAAAGTACATTTTACGCCATTAATTTTCATAGGTGGAATAATTGGGACAAACAGCCAGCAAAAAACTGATATTTACTATACAGCATATTCATTCCACCTAGGCAAAATAATTGTAAATCGTTGTTTGTTCAATACGCTATTTCAGCGATGATGTAATTATGGTTCCACTGACAAACCCAGACAGCACACCAAATCCTTTGGATATCTACTGCACATCCACTGAATGTCCAGTCTATGGTGGATATCTATTTTATATCCATGATATGTAATTTATAGACATGCAAATGTCCATAAATAATAGTAATTATATAGCAAATTATTAAAAAAATACGCCATTGTGCTCGCCAATGTGGCTAATAGTACCGTTCAGATATTTAAAATTATTTTTTTTAAGGTGTATTCAATATCCCATGGACATCCACTAAATATATCAAAGTCTAGGCGCGAACGCAAACCATCGTGGATATCCACTAGATGTTATTTGATTTTGCTTACTAAGTATAGGTGGCGATACCACTTTCGCATCTACATATGCTCAACCCGATATCCATATTAGATCCACGGAATATTTCTGATATCCCGTGGATATATTGGATATCCACAAAAGATATTCTGTGGATATCTCTGGGATTTGGTGTGTTGTCTGGGAAGTGACAGTAGATTTTTTGAGTCCGTTTTGTTTACCTAAATTATATCGTTTTTTCACTTTTATAAATATATTCCTAAAGTAAGTAGATAACATGCGTCTAATGTACAATCGTTTACTTACCAATTACATACCTTTAAACTTTTATGACCTGTAAATAATATTTAGAAATAAACTAAAAGTAATAAAAACGTATATGTCAAATTTACTGATGTTTGTTAAAAGTTTGGTTAGAATTAAATGTCAGTGGAACCAAAATGACATCACACCGAACTAGCGTATATCATTGGCTTGAAAGTAAATAGAATGTCGTTTTTTTTGTAGGAAAATCGCAAAATTTCAAAACTGGTATTTACGGATTAGTAGCTCAAGACGTTTTTCGTTATCTAACACACCCCAAATACGCCCGGATGAATTTCACTGTATCGGCCAGCTTTTTCGAAATATATGGAAAACTTGTGTTCGATTTATTAGCCAGGAAGCAACGACTGCGCGTTTTAGAAGACGGAAAACAACAAGTCCAAGTCGTTGGACTAACAGAAAGAACAGTTCTCACGGTAAAGTAATTCATTGATAATTTTAGAACAACCAAAGATTCTGAACTTTTCTTGTTCTTTTTCTTCTTCGTCTTTTTCTTCTTCTTCTTGTAGATATTATTATCTCACGCAGACGAATATATATGGGCTCAGTATGCATCATGCATTTCTCACATATATACCGATCCTGTATTTGAAGATTTGAGAACGAGCCTGAAACGTCGCTTGGACCGAATTAGCGCATCAAATTGTCGTCTAGGGCATTTGTGTACAGAAAAAAGATGTCTGGATTCGAATCCCAGCAGCGACAGGCTTGTTTTCAAATCTCCAAGCATGTGTTTTCACCTTTGGGGTTCGGGGATGGTCTTAATAATTCGTATGGGGATTTTTGAGGTTTGTTTCCGAATTTAAAATTATTCTATCATTATTTTGTACGAATAGATCTTTTCTACTTTAGGTTGATCACATTCTGGAGCTGATCCAGAGAGGCAGCATGGAGAGGACGTCCGGCCAGACGTCTGCGAATTCAAATTCTTCAAGATCTCATGCGGTATTTCAAATAATTTTGAGAAGAGCCGGTTCCAAGCACATTGCCGGAAAATTTTCGCTAATAGATTTAGCCGGCAATGAAAGAGGTGCTGACAATAACAAATCCAATAGACAAACGCAAATAGAAGGTGTGTTATATTTTTTTATGCATACGAAAACACTTAATACATAATTTTTTTTAGGAGCGGACATCAATAAAAGTCTTTTGGCTTTAAAAGAATGCATACGAGCCTTAGGAAGAAGGGGAGCACATCTACCGTTCAGGGGCAGCAAACTGACCCAAGTCTTGCGAGATTCTTTTATTGGAGAGAATTCCAGAACTTGTATGATAGCTCTAATATCACCAGGAAATTTTTCAGTCGATCATTCTTTGAATACTCTTCGATACGCCGACCGTGTGAGCTCTTTTTATTTAAATTTAACTGAATCAGACAAAAACACAGTCGTCAATATTTTTTTAGCTTTCAACTTTATTAGCTGTAATTTATAAAAATGTGGTCTTTAGGTTAAGGAACTAATTGCGACGGACCACATGGTTGACGACGGTCCACCAACGATAGCAGAGGAAGACGATTCCGAAGAAATCATCGAAGAATCAAACGACGGCGACGTAGACGACGAAGAAATCAAAGCCGAAGAACAACGGCTCCATCTATCATCATTAGAATGGGAATTGCGGGAAAGTCAGCGACATGTTATTCAAAGTTGTGTTGATTTTCATGACATGGCCTGTGATTTATACAACTCCGCGGACGTCAACGGTTACGATCGAGTCCATTACGCGAAAAAATGGAGGAATTTATTGAGCGAAATCGTTGATATCCAAAATGGAGCTCTTATCAAGGCTCATGAGTTTTGTAGCGCTCTTGACCGATGTTAAAGTCTTTTTACTTTGGAATGTTCCAATTAAAACATTATTTTTTCAACATAGTCTTTTATTTTGCTTTTTAAATAAATCGGTTGTCTCCATAGAATATAAATATAGTCAGGAAGGAGCATGCCATGTCCGCGTTAATCTAATCGATCTGTACTATGGATGACTCATCATCATATGATAAATGGTTTCTAAAATTGGTGTATAATTTTAGTGATTAAATTTTGTTAATAATTTGGATGTTTTATGTGTTAATTTAAACTTTTATCAAGCGTATGTTTTGTAGACATTTTTAAAAAGTGTTAAGTGTTTTAGTATTTATTTAGTATTACTGTTAATTTTAAATTTTCCGCGTTAAAAGGCAAACAAGACAATATGGTTAGTTGTTCGTCTTGTGGATATAGCAGCACAGCTAAAAGTAGAAAGGAATAATCTAAATTTCATAAGCAAGTATTTTGTTCTCTCAATTTTCAACCACATAAAAGATTTTTAAAATTTTTAATGCTTTAAATTTGTATACAAATTGGTAAGTGCGTCTGCGATCAACTGTGCTCATAGGCGTAGTCTCATGGTTTATAGGGTAAACATACTTTTATTTAAACAATTCTTTTATGCAATTTTAAGATATTTATGTGGTTGTTAAAATGAATAAATTATTGTTCAATTTAGATTTGTAAATTGATTGCAAGTAAATAATTTTTAGATTTCTTAGATTCTAGATTTATAAATTATATAAATTAATCACAGGTATTTTCAGATTTTCAGATTTCCTAGAGATTTTCAAAAAATAAAGCTATGGGTTGGGTTCATGCAACAAACAAATTGTGAGCCAAAATATCTTAATTTTTTGCGTTCACGCCATTTTAAAGCAGATTGTCTTGATCTAACCTCAAAACCAAGAATAAGACTTCTACCAACAGCTGTTCCAACAATAAAAGTGGTCCGGTTGAAGTATATAAGTAAATAAATTATCTACTAACTATATTATGTGCCGTTCTTTCGTATAATAGACGTTTATTGTATGAATGTGATGCACCCTATTTAATTTATTACAAAGTTATTTACAAAAACGAACACAAATAGAATTAATAATATCTCAAGTAAGGATAAGTAGCATATCGCATGCCCCAAGATACTGTCTTAGGTCCTATCTTGTTTAATTTTATTTTAAATAATTTGTCGTTTAAATACAGATGGAAATATTGTAAGTTTTTCAGAGGACACAATTATTCTGTAAAATGCAGAGAACTGGAATTGATTAAAATTATTAATAGAAACAGATCTTATAAGAATTTTCGAATAGTTTAATTATAAAAACTTACAAACCTTTGATAAAACTTATGTTGTTCCATTATACAGTTACAAAAGATGGCATTTTCCTATAGAAACAATAAAAGGTAACGTTCAGTAGTTTCATATAAGTATTATAAATGATATCAAATACCTTAAGAGTACAAATTGACTGTCATCATAACTGGACTAAGCATACAAATAATGCATTGAATGTACATTTAAAAATAATCCATTTTGCACTCATAGAATCAGTATTACCTTATAGGATCCTTTCTTGGAAAGGTGTTTTACCTGCTTATGCAAAATTGTCCTGCAAAAAATATTACTAAAAATCCGAGCCCACGCTAATCCGAATTACGCTAATCCGAACGCAAATCGTGATGCGAAATATAGTCTGAACGCCGCCTCTGTAATCCGAACGCTGACAGGAAAAGACCTGCAGTGCGGCCCGCGTCGCCCATATGTAGTTTGATAATGCATTTAAATGTACAAAAATCAATATACATACATAGATCTAAAGGTCTAAAAATGTGTAAGAGGTGTTTTATTATATATTCGTTAATCCGAACAATTCGATAATCCGAACAAGGTCTGACAATTTGGTGTTCGGATTAAAGAGGTTGCACTGTATTATGTAATAAAATGATCACAAATTCTCTTCGATATTAGGAAGTTTTATATGTACTCCAACAAAAACATCTAAGAAAGAAATATCACAGCGGTGTTTGACCTAAATATAAGTATGGGATATTTATTTTTTTTAATGTATATCTACAAAACATATTTATTTTTCAAACCTTAATAATTTGTAAAATGTAAATTAATAAAGACATTGTCATAATGAAGACGTAAAAAAGACAATATATTTTTAAATACATTATTGCTTTGATTTTTCAAATGAAATCCCTCTACAAATTTTCCCAAAAATATTTTTCCTATATTTATCCCACCCAACATGCAATTTTAAAGTAAAATTTCTTCACACAATGAAGGTTAATAAAAAAAATGCAAACTTCGCACAAGAAAATAGCAATTCGTTAAAATGAGAGAAATCGGTAAATTTAGATAATATGCAAATGAGAATTTATTATTTTCCTTTCTACGCCCCTTTATGACAGTACGTTACTGGTAGACCGGAAAGACTTGTCGCCATATTCGTCTAGTTCACTGTCAAATTAGATACCATCGCGATTCCAAGGTCGTTTGGGATTCCTCCTTCCTGACAATATATATTCTAAAAGGTTGTCTCATTTTAATCGCTAATATATGCCTAGATAAATGACAGATGAAAGAAGGTTATGTCACAATGTCAAATGTCCAAATAAATGAGTCATAAAGCATAAGCACGTTCAAGTTCATCGTTTTGTTAGGAAAAATAAATTAAAAAAAGCCTAATTACAAGCATTCTGTATGTGTTTATTTGTGATTTAGACAATTTAAATATTAGCGATAACAGAGTTTTTAGTGCGATAAAGGCACGATGCCTAAACACTTCAATAGGAACAAACAGCAATCATGGTCTAATGGTAATCTATCGTCATTATTTATACAACTTTCACTCTTTAAACAACCGTTTTTGCAGATCGATCAAACGATAGGGACAGAAGGGTATCTCTTAAAACCCATAATAATAAATATGATAGAAAACCTCAAGGTCAAAATAGGGATTGGAGCAACGCCATCAGATCCCATTTAGAAGAGGAGGATGTCGACATGGGGTTTTCCGCTGGTTCTAGTCGAAATTTGAAATTCAATAGAAAAGGAAAAGGTCCAGTTAGAGGTAGACAAGGATCACCACCACCACAAAATGGTCGAAGGAAGCTGCTAGAAGGTCCCTCAAATTGGTACAAAATTTCGGTTAGTAATTGATTATTTTTTGTTTTATGAAACTGTTCTAGATTAGAGATTCAGTTCCACACAAAATCACATTGATTTTATTCTATGCCTTATGACGTAGATATAGTTAAATCCCCAAATATTTTGTCATACGAATAGTTTCTCTGATTGTGAACATAATTAAAAAAGGCAGTAATAGCACTTTCTGTTGACCTAAGAAACCCATGTTGATCTGTAATAATTTTAAATTTAAATAAAAATGATAACATTTTTTTTATATATACATTTTTCAAAAATATTACAGAGAACGGCCACTGTGATAGGTCTATAATTTTCAAGAGCCATTGAATCACCTTTTTTAAAAATAGGTGATACTATACCAGTTTTAAGTATGCCATTTTTTACAGACATTGATTAGATATGCAATGGGTTCTGCTATATAATAACCAATAGATTTAATTATTTTAGTTGTAATGCACTCTACACCCATTGCATTAGTATTTTTTAAAGAACTAATGACTAATGTAGTTATGAAAATTTGTATTGTCAAAATTATTTCTAACAGTGTTACTAGCTATGGTTGAAAAATAGCAAAACAATTAGTTACAGTTTTTTTGTCAAATATTAATGTCATCAACATTGGCTTTATAGATTTGCTTTTGCTGGTTATAGAAGGTAATGTATTCTACATAATTTTTTGTTTTCTAACAATTTATGATAATGATCCTTTTTAGTTACATTTATTACCTGAACATAATCTTTTTTTTTTTATTTGTAATTTTTTAACAATTCTGAGCTGTCACAAGTTTTAGTAAGCCAATATAACTTTTGGAGATCATTACCTGTATGTATAATGTTTTTGTTTACTCATTGCCTTGATGTATTGTTTTTAACCATTTTTGTTCTGACAAGGGAACAAGTTACATCAATATGATATAAAATGATTCTAAAAAATGTATCAAAAGCATCATTAGTACTGTCTAACTCATACACGGGCGAAAAATCTTTAGTTTTGCATTAAGATTTGCTAAATTTGTAAAAGAAAGATCTCTAAAAGTTACTATTTCTTTGTTAATTTTGCTTTGTGCACATGTGATGTCTCCAAGCATAACATTCAAGTCACAATGATCACCTAGATTAAAATCAACCACAGTTTCAGTATATATGGGAAAATTTGTTAAAAAATGGTCTATTTTAGATTTAGTAATGCGGTTGTTTTTACCTATACATACTCATGTGGGGTCGTGATTCTGACAAGTTAGGATTAAACTCTGAATAAGATCAGTAAGGAGATGTTTATTATAAGAATGTGTTAGAAAGTCAATGTTAAAATCTCTACATAAAAATACAGCATCATAAAAAACTACAACACAATTTAAAATATATGACAATTTTTTAATAAAAAATTCAATATTTCCAGAGAGATCTGTAAAGGTTTATAATAATAGAGTTTATATTTTTTACAGAAAATGATATAGCACAGCTTTCAAAAATATATTTCTTCTGATAGGCTATTTATAAAATTTACTGTCATATGTAATGCTTTCTTTTATTAAAATAAGTGATCCACCATGAATTTGTTGTTTCTAACGTATGAATCGGTGATAATGTAATAAAAGGCAATGAGGTATTATTAGATAGATATTTATTGAAATAGAATAAACCTAATATACAAAAAAAATATAGAAATACAAATACAGTACACTTAAAACTTAAAGATAATTATTATTAACATTAACATAATCTGAGTTAAGAAAAATAAATTTGTTACACATTACAAAGATACTTTTAATCTTGAGTTTAGACAGCCTTAATTAACAATAAAACAAATAACAGTTGAAAGCATGAACCCAAATATTAAAAAAAAGAATAAAAAAGTAATAAATATATAAAAGTTAAAATCAAATTTTATCAGTTTTAATAAAAGTTGTCAATTTTTTTTAAAAAACTTACTAATGAATTACAATCCTTCAAGCCCCTGTGCAATTCATTATATTCTTGGAAACCTTTATACAATAACGATGCCTGTGATTTCGAATAATGAACTTTTTAATGTATTGTAAGGGATAATACATAAATATAAATAATAATTTCTAGTACTTGTAAATAATTTAGACAAGTAACAATGATGAAAATGTTATTTTAATGAGCGATAAAACAAAACTCAATAAAATTAAAATAAAAAGAAACTAACTTGACTAGAACTAAGATTAAAATTGAAATTAGATTAGACATTGAAAAGTCTCAGAAAATATATATCTCTTTATTTTGTCAAAAAACTAATTCTATTTACATATACAGCATACATAGTAATAAAAAAAAATAGTACAAGTACAATAAAAATTTTTACAAACTAATTCTTTTTACATACAGTATATAAAGTAATAAATAGTATAACATGGAGTTTTTTTATAAAAAATACATTACACATAAACGAAAATTAAATTTAGAAGTAAACAAATTTACGTATCACACTGATGAGCTTATTCTGACATGAGATAGTTTTTAATTCTCTTTTGAAAATATTTACTGACGAACTTTTTTTGATATATTCTGGTAAATTATTAAAAGAATTTATACCTTTGTGAAATACAGAGTTATATGTACTGTTTTTTCTACATCTTTGAATTCTGAAATTATCCTTATTTCTTGTGTTATAATTATGTACATACATACTATTAGAGAGCCTATCCTGCAGATACACTGGTGCATGTCCAATTTTGACTTTAAAAATAAAAATTAATGTGTAATATAGTAATAATTTTGTTATTGGAAGCCAATTTAGTGCATTTAACATACTGTTTATAGGAGTGTACTTCGAACATTTTAATATTATTCTCATGGCACAGTTTTGCATTTTTTGGAGATGACTTATTTCATTTTGGTTAAGTAAATACAAAATTGTAAGACAATAATTGAAATGTGGCAATATAACAGTGTTGAAAATTGTTAATTTTGACCATTGGCTAAGATGTGGCGAACATCGTCTTAAATAATTAATTTTAGGGGCTACAATTTTAATAACTTGATTTGCATGATCCAAAAATTTTAAATTATTGACAATAATTTAAAATTTGGTTACTCCTAAATAAACAAATTTTTTTACTATTTCTAATGTTATATTTAAACTGTCTTCCCTATAACTATTTTTTACGCCTAATATACATTTAGTTTTCTGAATATTAATTTTTAAGAAATTTGCACAACAATATATATGCACCCTCTTCAGGGAATCATTCATGACTCTTGTACAGTACTCCAGATCACTGCTGCAAAAATACAGGAGTATCATCTGCAAATAAATAAATTTTGCATACCCCTGCAATGCCCAAAATATCATTTAAATAAATTAAAAATAGCAGAGGCCCCAAAACACTACCCTGCGGGACACCCATTTCATTACATAACCTGTTGGACTTCATGTTGTTGATTTTTACCATTTGTTGCCTGTTGTTTAAGTATCCATTAACCAACTAAGAGCTGCCCCATCAATACCTACGCTTTTAATTTTCTTTATTAATCTAGATCTATCTACTATTTCGAATGCTCTTTGTAGATCTAAAAATACTGCAATTGTAAAGAGGTCATTTTCAATATTATTTTTCCAGTCGCTTAAAACACATTGTAGAGCCGTTTCACAACTATGTTTATTAAGGAATCCTGATTGATACTCACAAAGAATCTTATTATTTTCTAAATAATTTACTATTTGCTCATATACAGCTTTTTCCAATACTTTAGTAACAGCATTAATCATATTAACTGGTCTTAAATTCTGAGCTATATTTGTGTTTGGTTTTTTGGGTATAGGTACTATAGTAGATGTTTTCATTTCTGTAGGCACTTGACTTAACTCTAAGGAACTATTAATTATGTTTAATAGAGGATTGCAAATATATTTGAAACATTTTTTTAATAACTCTACACTGATGTTATCTGGACTACTTTTATTTTTTAATGAACTAATTATTTTCTCTAATTCCTCTAAACAAATTAAATTAAAACTGGTCATTTTATTAGTAATAATTATATCTACTACTGGAAAACTATCTGCAAACGTTTTATCAATTTGCTCTGTTATGTCTAATATACTGTTAAGGTAATATGTATTTAAACAATTTGGTATTATATTTATATCAGAGATTACCTCACCATTACCCATTTCAATTATATTAAAATTATTTTCTTGTTTGTCATTCGGAATGAATGCCTCTAAAGTTTTCCACATTTCTGTCGGATTTTGTTTATTCAGATCTATTTTGTTTTCAAAATATATCCTTTTTTCTTCCCTTATTGTTTTAACAGCAATATTTATTTTTTGTTTATATATTTCCCAGTTTTCTGTTGTTTTGTTGTTTCTATAAAACCTAAAACTTTCATCCCTGTCTTTCGCCACTTGCTTAATTTTTTTATTCCAAAATTCCTGATAATGCCTATAGATTTTTTTCTCTTTTATTGGGGCTACTTCATCTAGTATAGAATATACCTTTTCTACAAACATCTTATATCTTTTATTTAAATTTATTTCTCTATAGTTCCAATTTATATTTTTTAATTTTAATCCAATTAGTTCAAAGTCAATGTTTCTGTCCCTCGTTTTTATATAAAATGATTTTCTTGATAGTTTTATGTCCTTTAAAGATATTATATTGCGGTGTGAGCTTATTTTAGTGAAATCAAAAACATTGTATCTATATCTAGATTTGATAAAACTAAATCAATTAATGTACCTCCCCCCTGTGTAAAATGTGTATATTCTTTTACTGAATTTACTAATCCCATATCAGTTATAAAACTTCTTAACATTATCCATCCAATTTAAATTAAAATTCCCACATAAAATAGTTTTAACAAAATATTAGGATTTCAAGTAAATTAAACTTTAAATTACTTACAAAATTGGTCGCCTCTACCTCGATATGACTTCACACATCATTATTCACTATTTAATTCGTAGTTTCAGAAATAATGTAGCTTGAAATAGGTAAAGTGGTTCCCTCATCAAACTGGCACACAAAGTAGAACTTCAGGGGTTCTAACTAATTTACTGGGGGTGAAATAAAGGGGTGATGCATGCTCCAACTCCAAACCTGAAAATTTATACTAATTAAATATTTGTAAAAAGATTTAAGTGTGTCCAGGGGCAACCTTATCATTAGTAGATAGTTTCTACAACATTTCAGCCCTTGAATCGATCTAATTTAACTTAAAAAACAATTTAAATGATGAAATTACAGATCAATAATTATTAAAAATGTTGCAACATAAATGTAAATATAATTTTAAGGTAGTAATAAGTTTGTAATTAGATTTATTAGTGTTTTATTAATAATTTCGCGAGTGATTACATAAAAAATAGTGAATTTCCTTAAAAACATGAAAATAATGAAAAAAACTTAAAATGTGATCCTCGTACATGGTTATGACAGCAAAAAACCAAGAAATCCTATTCTCAGTAGGCCATGACTTTAAGATTTATAAAAAGCAATTTCCGAAAAATTGGAGGAGAGTCGATTCTGGGCAGTTGCCGAAGAAAGTCCTATTAAAAAACAATTAAAACAAATGAAAAAATCAACTCACCTTTGAGAATGACAGCCGTGTCTTCGACTGGGTTTTGAACGGTTTTTTTAAAGAAAAATCAATATAAATGGTATCTGCATGATTATCTCCCCAAATTATGGTGATTTATTAGATTCATCATTAACATCACCAGGCATAGAACCCAATATTTGACTATCACGAACCTGGAGAAAATATAAGCAAAATAAGAAATTACATGGAGGTGATTAAAAAACTTAAAAAGCACGAACTGATAACAGACGAAAATGAGCCATAATAACAGTAATCCTAACGTGAAAATACATATAACTTAAAAAGAAAATCAATCCTGAGAGATTTATCAGTTATAAATTGATACTTTCATATTTACACATCAAGGACTTTACATTTTGTTTGAAATAACATTAAAAACATACCCTTGATGGGTAAATAGTAATTTTTTTTTCTAACCTAAAAAAATTATTATCACGTTCTTCTTTTATTTAACTGTGCAACTTTTTCAATAATTTAAAGTAAAGATAGGCACTTTACCGTTTATTAGTTACAATCGTTGTTATATTTTCTTTTATTCTCTTATTTTTCCACATATTATTCCCTTCAAAATAAAGTGTTTGTCATTTGAACCATCTGAATATCATTTTTAACCGACTTCAAAAAAGGAGGAGGTTCTCAATTCGTTGCGATTTTTTTTTATGTATGTTCAGCGATAATTCTTCAACACGGTGTCCGATTTCAATAATTCTTTTTTTTTGTTAGAAAGGGGTACTTCAGGGGTGGTCCCATATAAATTTGGTTAAAATCTAATAATTGAATCCATGGGAAATTTTTTATGTATGTTTAGCGATAATGCTTTACCATCTTGCCCGATTTCTATGATTTTTTTTTGTTAGTAAAGGGGTATCTCAAGGGTGGTCCCATGTAAAATTGGTTAAGATGTGGTGACGGCATCTGCACGTTTTTGAAGTCGGTTTTTTAAAATTTTTAATTTCTTATACTTGTACTTCATCTACAAATCAATAAAACACCGTCACTTAAACTATAACACGACCACTGTGACTGTGGCTCGGGAACGAGTATGAACGAGACCTGGAACTCCCCTACCAGAGAAGAGTCAAATGCTCTAGTGGACAGGGTGGCTCGAAAGATTTGATGAAAGAGCAATCCAATTTAATATTTTTTTTTATATTTAGTTTGCCGGAGCAGTTAAAATTATTGTAGGAGGCGGAGACGAGCAGTGGTGGCGCCCAGGGTTTTCCATAAAGTGTTTTATTACAACTTTAATATTTTTTTTGTGTAAATTTTTTTTTGTTTATGTCGTTTATGTTGGTGGAACTTACACCAAATTTAAATAAATAAAAATCAACATGATTTTTTGAAATATTTTTCCACAGTTCGTAATACTTTGCGAAATTTGGCAATTTCATAAAACTTAACAAATCAAATAAAATCGCAAATTTTTTTTAACATAAAGCATATTAAATAATACATTTCCGTCTTATATTCTACAGTATATATATCGTTAGTTGATCTTGTGCTGTAATCATGAATATCCCCATGATACAAATAAATTGATGAAAGTAGGATGGAGCCAAAGAATGAATTATTTTATAAATAAATATAATTGTCAAGTAGTGCAACCTTTGCTGAATCGAAAATCATTGAAGAGAATTTAACATTGTGACAACCCCCTCCCCCCTGGCGAGATTTCGTAAGATTTTCCTTAACTCCCTCCCCCCCTTCCCTAATCTCACGTGAGATTTTTCAAAATTCGTGTTTTGGATGTAAATGTGTTGGATTATTAAAAAAAAAAAAACAAAAACACAATATGTTCCATTACTTTTATTTAAGACTAGCAAAGACTAGTGTTTGAGAGTTTTGCAATTATTTAAAATCACACTTCCCAACCTTCAATGACGTTAGTAATGACAACATTACATATATGGTTGTAAATAAACATAATTATAAGATTTTTCCATATTTTATTCTAGAAATACTTTTACTATTATTTAACTTTACTTTCACGCAATTTTGCACCGTTTTCTACTAGAAAAAAAATTACGTGAGATTTACGAAAACCCCCCCTCCCCCCCAAGTGAGATTTAGAAAGATTTAGTTTTATCCCCTCCCCCCCTTGAACACCTCACGTAATTAATGGACGCCCCCTAATATACTGTTATTTTAGTTGAAGTTAACAAGTTATTTGAGATTCTAGAGAAGAAATATAATTTTTTCAATTTTTTTTTATTAATGTATGTAATTAAAGAAATTAAAAGTAAGTAGATTATCTAATTGGATATCTAAATACTTAATAGTTGGGACTATTGCGATTTTTTCACCATTTATTTGTAAATTAACATCATTGATATCAAGTAAGCTATATTTATGTTTAGTTGTGAAAATAAGTGCTTTTGTTTTAGTTACATTCAATTTCAATTTGTTAAGTTGAAAATACTGGGCAACTTTCTCCAGTATTTTATTCATTTTCTCGATTGCACTCATTAAATTTATATCAGAGTGTCATCAGCAAAGAGATTAATGAATTCACAATCAACAAACAGTCCAATATATCATTCAAATATAGTTTAAAAAGCAGCGGCCCTAGGACACTTCCTTGTGGAACTCCTGTGTCAATGTAAATCTCGGGTGATATCTAATACAAATCTATGCACTTTAGAAATAATATTGTCGCAAATGGTTTCAAAATCTTCTAGAAATTTTGCATCCGAACTTGATGGAGAATGGTAAAGATATCCCACAATCCAGACTGCTGATGAAAAATTTATTTTTACTAACGTGCACCAATAATTTTATTTCAGAACATATGATTTAACAATTGAGCAACTATAACATTTTTTTTTACATACATTACAATCCCTCCTGTATGTCGAGATATTTGATCAAAATTATTAATTAAACTTTGAGCATTGTCATAAATAATATCAGAATTTAATGGTATATTAGGTTTCTCAATTATTTTTTTATTGTAATTATTGTAAACAATAGTTGGCTTGTCATTAATATATTTTATAGTTTTATTAGTTTCGCCATTCTTAATGAGAGTTTGTAATTCAATTTTAATCTTTTTTAAGTATTCTCGCTGCGCATTTGTCTGGTCAGAATAAATTTTCACACTAGTTCCTGACCTAGATTTTTGTTTTTTAAAAACAGTTTAACATTTTCTAGCGAAGGCAAAATAACTTTAATGGGTCTTATTTTTGACGGAAGGAACTTTCCCAATCTAAAAGATTTTATTTTACTTTTATCAATATTAAAATTCTTTCTTGAATGGTAGTACAATCTTCAACATTACGTTCTTGATTAGACGTCATTTTAGATTCATTAATATTGTATGCAATAATATTTGAGGCTCTTCTTTGCCTCTCCATCATTTCACTAATCATTATCTTTATATGTAGGAGTAATATTAATATTTTGGATATTTTTAAGGCATTAATTTCCGACTCCAATTTATCAATTACACCAACATTGAGAGTTATACAAAGAATGTCATAATTATATTGATTCAGTAAAAGTTCAATTCGATTTGTTTTGTTAACAATAGATAGACTATTTGCATTTATAATTCTAAAATTATTACAGATGATGTTAGCAGCTGATATACTTGCAAATTTATCCCTATTATAACAACCTTCATCGTATTTATTATGGCTTGACTGATGGATATTTACAGAATTATTTGTTAGTTTATTTGGCCCATGTCTAAAAAACCCTTATTAAATATAGTTACATTGTTATTAGTTTCATTAATATTCTCATCACAGCCTATAAAAATTCCTTTAGTTTCAAATTATATTTTAGTATTTGTTTAAAATTCTTTTCTATTAGAGGAATTGATAAAAATATTACATTTGTTTGAGTACATTTTTTTATTTTAGAATTTAATAACTTAAAACTAGGATACTTGTTTTTTGTAACGTTGTTGCTCCCTCCTACGACAATTACATGATCATTCGAAGTAAAGTTTTTGATTAAATTTTCAATGTATTTCACAGTTTTATTCATTTGGTTTGGTTTGATGATCATTTCTACCAAAGCATCTTCTTTATTGAAACGTTTCCTTATTTCTACATCTAGACCTCTACCTCTTTCATCAGTTAATATAAGTATCTTTTTTTTAACAGTTTAAGTTGAAAGACAAAACATTTTTAAATGGTGCTATTGATCCACATACATTGTACATAAGTTTTGAGGGACAGCTCCCTGTCCAACAGGTCTAAAAATATATATTACATTTAAAAAATTTAGATGGTTAGACTAAGTAGTCTTAATTTAATTTTTCTTTCACAGCTACCCCATGGTGACAAATTTGACAAAACCTTTATCATAAAAACTCTACTGGATAAAATGGCGCCGTTACCGTTTTGGCCCATAGCGGTAAGTTTACTATAACAAAATTCGAATCAAAAAAGGCTACAATTTAACAATTTTACAGTGGCAAGTATTCGGAACGACTATAACTTTCTACGTTGACGATTTTAAGGTGGCCCAAAAACTGAACAATCTCGACAGGCAAATTCAGTTACCAAACGGATTTAAATTGTTCATCAGAGTCTATTCGGGTACTCCGAATGTAGATATGACGCCGGCGCTTAAAGAAAAAATGAAGGTGGTCATGGCGAAACGTTATAACAGCATGACAAAGGCTTTGGATTTGACAAAGTTCCACGCCGATCCCGATTTGCAGGACTCTTTTTGCGCCCTGTTTAAACCCGTAGTGTTTTTGGCCGTCATCGATATCATCTCCGAAAACATTCCCGATTTGGAGGCGCTGAATTTGCACGATAATAAAATACAGATACTTAATTTTTTGAAGAATATCCCCAAAAAGGTGCCGAATCTCAAAATATTGCATGTAGGTCATAATAAGGTGAGTTTTTAAATGGTAACTTTACAGTTCACAAGTGAAATTGCAGCAAAATTACATCTTTGTGCCCAATATGACGTTCAGCAATATTTTTTCTACAATTGCAAATAAAATTGTGAACTCTTATATATTTTTTATGTTTTGGTATTGATTTTATTGGTTTATTCAGATCAGGGATATAGCGCAGTTGGACTGCTTACAAGGTTTGCCGATAATTGATCTGAAGCTCGACGGGAATCCGATGTGTGATAAATATAAGGACAAACCGACTTATATAAGGTATGATGATGCTATTACTTAGGATTTTTCGTTTGATACATTTTTAGCAGGGTGTACATACAAAATGGAAATGTTAGTTTTGATCAAGGTATTTGGTCAAAAAATCGAGATATGCTTGGAAGTTTGAAAGCAAAAGTTGCAATGAAAATTGAAAATAAGGTGGGAACGATTTGATCCATTTTAAAAGTTGTGTTACGTTTCAAATTTCTTTGTACAATTATACAGGTGTTTTTGAAATATCACTTTTTATTGAAGATTAAAAACAAAATATTTAATCATCGAAGTGTCTCAAAATGTTCACAATATAAGGAAAAAAATAATTATGAAATGATAAAATGTCATAGTAAACAAGAAGTGTTTTTATGATTCATTATAGTTAGTTATTGTTACATCAAGAAGGCGAATAAGAATTGTTGACATATTTAATATATATTTATCTCATTTTTGCAGCAATAATGTGTGAAATATGCATTTAGAACCAAAAATTTCAGTTTCTTAGTATCCCAAGTTATAAAAATATACTTTTACGTGTTTTTTATGAAGGAAGATTCTAAACAACTTGTGCAATTTCATAATTATTAGTAAAAGGAATATTCTAAATATGCTAATTTTTATATTTTCAATATTTTGATCGTAATTTAAAACGCCTTCAAATTTGAGACACCGAATTCATGCTAATACAATTTTTTCTTTAAAACATTAATAGGCCAGAATAGATTTACCTGTCAAAAATTGGAATAAAGCTACAACTTGGTATGTTGGTCCAATTCGGCAGCTTGCATTTTTAGGGGTGTTTTTTTGAGGTCGCTGCTCAAACGGTCAGTTTTAAATGAAAAATTCTTATCCAGTCTTGATCTAGAGGATATTTGTCACTACCTTAGCATTTATAGTTCACCTCTAAAGTTCTAGACTGTTCTTAAGAGTGTCTTGTCATTAAAGGCAGCACTATCATGTTTTGCACTGATTTCAAAAGCCACTTTACCATAATTTTTTGATCAATGGATAACTTGACAAGGGAATGACGAACGCTCAAAATCGGCTGATGTTTGTAAATTTCATCAAAGTCGTAGCTCAAGAAATTCAGAAAAATTAAAAGTTGTCATTGAGCCCTGAAAATTCTTCCATTTGACCTTTTTTTTAAATATAGGTACCTGCAAAATTTCAGACGTCAACAACTTTTAATTTTCCCGATTTTCTTAGCCATACGGTATTCACATTAAAAATACACCCTTTGGTCAATATGAACTAGACTACATTTCTGATTGATCATCGTGAAATTTTTTTTTTCTAATTGTTTTTCAAGGGAAAGTTAATAAAATAGGGAAAATTATGATGAAATTTACAAATATCAATTGTATTTGAACGCTCACTATTCCATTAACTGTCAACTACTACTAAAAAGAAACTAATATGTACGGGTATTCAGGTATGTTTTGGAAAAATTTCAATAAGACTATGCGTTCGGTTCATGGCGCTCGCGAAATGAAATGAAAAACATGGGAGCGGGGCCTTCAATGACAAAAAATGCCGCTCTTCAGAAGGCTCTAAAGGGTAAACTATAAATGCTATGGTAGGAGGTGCGGAACATATTAATATTTCCAAAAAATTTAATTTTATTATAACTTTCTTAAAAAAATAGATTTGCAACTTTTTTGGAAGTTCGGAACATAATTTTAATATTGTTTTTGTTTATATCATAGACAAAAAAATTTCAAATAGGCTACAAACCGATGACATAACTCATACAAGTTTTTGGAACAGCTATTCCAATTTGCAACCTTTTATTTTACACGGAAATATATTTTTTTTTTTTTGTAAAAATATCAAAATAATTTTTTATTTTCCTCTAATTTTGTCAAAAAAAAAAAATACGAAAGTTTTGAAAATTGGTTGGAAATTTAAATATTACTTTTCTTAACAATCTGGTAAATTTGCAACTTCGGACAAGGTCTGGAACCTTGAAAAATTAACAAAAATCAAGAATTCGTACCTAGGCGATTTACTTCAATTTTATCTTTAAAAATCTTTATATAGAAACTAAAAGAAAACTGTACAATATAAAGATGCATGCGGGGTATTAGAAGTGCGGATATATAAAAGTTATAACTGAAGATGTAGCATAAATATAACACTAATTCCGAGAATAAAATAATATTAATCATTATTTTAACGATTGCATGCATGACCTTGAAAATGGGATTTCTTGTAACTAACAAAAACCCAAAAATCTAGATAAATTTTTATCCTGCACGGTCAGAGAAATGTCTCTAAGATTTAACGAAAAGTTCGATCTTTACCCACTAATGCAAAATTTCATCTGGAAAGCGGGTAGTTACACCAGACCAATGTAGATGGATCAAATATTTTTATATCTTAACGATATAGGTATTTTAAATACTTTTATAAATGACGCATCATGCAATCTGAGTTTAATAAGATATTTCTTAACGTAACTAGGATTGCCAACTATTAATTTTTAAAATCCTGGACAGATCACTAAAAATCTGTAAACAAACAAGGACACAGGGTGACAAAAGGACACATAATCATATAACGCTTTATTAATTAAAAAAAAAAATTAAAAAATAATACAGGCTAAAAAAAATGAAATAAACATTTTAAAAACCAACATTAAACACTACTCTATTTTATTATAATGTTACTAATGAATAAAAATATAAAACACTTTGGTATAATGGTATAATAGTAGGCAATAAAGTTGTGCTTGCTTATTGCTTACATTTTTTTTCTTGGCCGCTATGTTGTTTGAACTACTGGCTAAAATCCAGGACAAAATGCGTCCTTCTTAAGGGCTCGGAAGGACGAAGGACAAATTTATTAAAATCGCTTGAAATCCAGGACGTCCTTGGTTGACAACTCTAAACGTAACTCTAGTAAGAAATGCATGTCGAGTATTTTAACATTGAATGCAGAAATCCATGATAAATGATTCAGATTTACGAGATGAAATAACATCTCGAGTAACATCCGCATTTTAAGGGCTCGCGAACGTTTGTTGCAGTCGCGTCGACGCAGCGGTCGGTGGCGTCGAAATACATTCAATCATAACTTCTCGACGCCACGTTTTAGCGGTGCATTGGCGTTGCAAAGATATATTAGTTTGTATCAAGAATTACACACGAAAGGTGGTAGAAAAACGTAGTAGCTATGGGCGATGAGTAATTCGACACAGAATTATTCTAAAAAAAATAAAGGAACATTCCTAAATGATCTTATTTATTTAAGCATTGAATTCAGTTCATCAATGAGCATATAATCATATGAATATAATTAAAAAATATATATTCATCATTATTTCTTGAGTCAAAAAGCTTAATACGTTCACGACGACGTGTACCACTGGTGGTACATAGCAAATCTCACTGATAGTCGTGTGTTTCTGAAAGAAATCGTTGATATTTGGGTGACGGCTAAAGAAGTGGTTAATAAATCCTCGTGTATAATCGATGGCGCACTCGTCTTTTAATATGAAAATAATTGAAGAGTAAATAACAAAATTAAAAATAAATGATATTTTTTTATTTTAACTTTAAAAACGACAAATACACTGTCCTTTAGCGTAATTAAAGCTTAATCAAAACTTTTATAAATATAGGGCATTCTGATCCTACTTATTAGTCATGTACCACGTGTGGTACATGCAAGGAAAAGCTCTAACTAAAAGACTTGAATTTATATGATTAATGGTCTTTATTTACCATAAACACACAATAACTAAACTTTATTAAAAAGAAATGCATCCCATACTAATATACACCCTAATATCCCGTCGTCGTGAACGTGTTGATATGAAAGCATCTTTTCACCTTTAGTAAACGGGAACTTAAGTAAGGATATACCTAATATTTTCTCCTCTTTCTCACAAACTGTAAACAAGATATAGGTTCAAATATTACTTCTTTTTTTCATCCATCTTTTCTGATCTTAACCCTTAAGTTGGCAGTAACAGAAATAATCATTACAAAATAAAACTACTAAATAATGGGTTATAAAATAAGATAACATGTATCTTATAGGATACGTTTCTAAGTACATATATAACAAATTTGTATTTTACTTAAATATTTAATTTTTATATCTATTGGAAGTTTCACTAAACAAAGTCTGACGTTGCATTTTTGGAAAAAAATTGCATTTTGGCCATTTTGACATAAACGGCATCTTCCTTTTTTTGCCATATATTGCAAAATGCCCCACATTGTTGAAACGGATATTTCGTTGAGCAAATTGTTTTGTTGCCACGTATAAGCTGGCAACGCTGGTATTATTCGTTTCCTGCACGTCCTAATGATATGTAATTTTCACATGGACTTGTGCAAAGCCCATTGGAAAACATTCGGTAGCCGGCACTGTATGCTGTCCGGAAACAACACTTTTATAAAGAAATTTAATATTACTATTATTTTTATTTTTTGTGACAGTTTATTGTCTTTGTGTAAAATAGTTCACTTCACATTTATAGAAATAAAACAAAATAAGGTATGCTTAGGAACTTGGCAATGTATCCTATAAAATACATTTACCTTCTGTCTTTTCGGTCTGAAGTTATTTTACAAAAATAATGTCTATAAATATAAATACGACTTATTAGTATTATTATTATTATTATTATTTGGAAACACATCTTATATTTTTAATTCTAATAGAAACCTTAATAATTTGAATAAAATAACAAATACTTATTGCAAGTCTGTTATATCTCAATATGTTCATTAATACTGAATCACTATGAAAGTTGTCACTTTGTAACTTAAATTAAAATCATTTGACAGCAAGCGTATTGATAAATTCATGGACCAATAGGGTTCTAAATGTATGTAAACTACCCAGAATACATATAGATTTTGAACAGTTATATTTATATTAGCATACTTTTGATGTATCCTATAGGATCGTTGTCAACTTAAGGATAAAGTCGAATTTACTCTGCCTTGTTTCGGGACAGAAGACAAGAAGCGCTGCGTGTCAATTAAAAATTG